TTTTTAGGCTTATAAACCTCAGTGGAGTTCCTGAAATGTTTAATTCAAAATGCAAAGGCGAATTTAACGCTTAATACGAATATTAAGTCTTATAAGTGAAGGCATCCATCAATTGTTATTATAAATAAAGGCATATAGTGGACAAGTCCTTTGCAGTGAATGGCTGTGTAACCCGAGATATGAAAGTGCATGGAAAAACATGTTGTTTTTAGCTCGACTATTCGATAAAAATAAGTAGAGCTATTGTAGTCACCCGAGCGTCGGCGTCAGCGGCTGCGTAGGCGTCGGCGTAACCACTTATGTTAAAGTTTTCGTAATACCTCAAATATTTTCAAACTCCATTGACATATGGCTTTGAAACTTTGCACACTTGTTTACCATCATGACCCCAACATGTAGACAGGAGGAGGTAACTCTATCAATCATATTGACAGAATTATGCCCCTTTTTCGACTTAGAATTTACGTTAAAGTTTTTGTAATACCTCAAATATTTTCAAAGTTCATTGACATAAGGCTTTGAAACATGTTTAAATTTTATACTCTTCTTTGAGAGCATAATAGGACTCTCTTCAAGGCCTATAACTGTAATAGGGATTTAAAGAAAAAAATTGCCTTTTTCTGTACTTAGAAAATTTTACCTTTTAATCAAGGCTTTTTTTTTACTATCAAGCACTAAGAATAGTCGAGCGTTGCTGTTCTACCGACAGTTCTTGTTGATCCTTAAAATCTGTTTTAATGTATAGTGCAATAGAAATAATAATCATTCTTAAAAATTATTTAAATTTCTATGTTTTAAATAAATCATTTTATATGGCAGACATCTCGGGTGACATAGCCATTTACTGCATGGGACATGTCTACTATATGTCATTATTTATAATACTTGGTGCATTTATTTATATTACAGAGTATTCGTATTAAGCGTAAAATTTGCCTTAACTTTCTTTGAATTTAACATTTCAGAAACATATTTATAGATCTTGCTACCTTTTTATATTGAAATACAGTGCGGTAAATGGAGATAAAGGTCTCTCAGCTAAGATACAACAAATAATAGAAAGAAATAATAAAAATAATATAATTAGAAAGTATCATGAATAAAGTAACATTTTATATGAACAAAAATGTTTTACTCTTTCCTAGTTACTGTAGCACAAAAGCGCTGAAAATTGTTTCTTTGAACGGCTTTCAGCGTTATTCATTCTTGCCGATGAATTGCTGTCGATGTTATCATTAAAAAGAGGCGAACAGCTGATGACGTTACTAAAATTTTGATGACACTCAAACTTAAATACCTTATAACTTTAACAGAAAAGCTTTTTTGTAGGTATGGTTTGGAATATTTAATGACGAAATGTTGACGTTTACGAATCTTATGAAAAAAGGATTTATTATCATGAGAAAATATAAGTTTTTGTGACTTTAAACTAAAAATACCGCATCTCATCGGATAGTGTGGTTATTTTCAGTCAAAATTTACGTAAAATAAAGCTTGCACAGGGCCAGAAACTTGTTAGCAAGCTCCTTTGGATGTTGACTATGAATCCATAAAACACAGTTGGGATATGTTAAAATAGATGAATACTTACCGTACCGCGCCGACATGTATATACTGGTACAGCTGTCGATTGATTGTACGGTGTGTTTATATCAACCAACATTTTAGATATTGTAATACTGACCACAGCCGTGTTAATAGCCAAATAGAAAGACAAAAAAACAATTTGAGACAAACCCCGAGCACGAGCAGACTCACAGCATACTGAACATTATAAAGAAGTGTAACGTGTTCAATAACGCAGTCATATTGCAATATCTACTCCGCACAAATTTGGCAATCAAAATTATTCTAAACGTGCTAATGCATTTATAGTTACATATTTAGCATTGCAAAATGTATCGGGCATTTGGTAGATATTTACATTTTTTATTTAAGAATTGTAATAACTAACAGGAGTTGTAAGACAGCGCATTCGGTTTTAAAAGTGAAATAAGAAAAAAAAAGGTTCTAAAACTGTACTTGATAGGGTAATAAGAATTTAAGGTATTTAAAAATAAGAATTTAAGGTATTTAAAAATTGATTGTTGAAAGAGAAACATGACAATTCTATAAGTAAAACACGGCAACAATACAAAAATCTTATAGTGTTCTTAAACAAAACATTAAATATCTATCTAATATAAATGGCTCTGTATAGGACGTTTCCGGAAGTACAGCAATGTTTACGAATTACGAGAGCAGATAACTAAACAATGATAGACATAAATAGAAGTAAGGTTTTACCCGTTCCAAGGTTTCCATAGAGGTGTGTTTCATGATTCTAGGCAGGGTTCTTGAAAGACCCAGCTCCGGGACGAAAAATGGCGTTACGGCTCATTGTGTATTACAGTTTCTTTACGCTTTTCGTAAGTAATGGCGAGGCGATCCTCTGGGCTCATATCCGGCACCTTGGAATGTCCAAATAACTTGCACATGAATAGATGTTCGATTTTTTCTATGGTAGGTTTTAGTAACTGGTCTAAACATGCACGTGATTAATTATTGCCAAATGTATGCCTTTCACAATAAGGGTTACATCTTTATTGCGTTTTAGCGCTTTCTAATTATTTAATATCAAATGTGCTATCATAAATAATCTATTAACCTTTTACCCCATGAGCATATTGCGAAAAATGGCCGTTTTCATTGAAAAGCCTCCTGTAACAAGTTCAAACTGCTATGAAACTATGAAAAATACTTCAATACTAATGAAACTTGGCACAAATGTTGACTACACCATAGCCTTTGTAACAGCATGCTCAATGGTAAATTTCCTGTTACCATGGCAACGAGGGGACGTCTCAAAATTGCCAAAAATCACTATTTTGCATTGTTTTTTCCATCAAAACTGATTTCAAAGTGCTGCAACTTCTCAATGAATTGAGATAGAGTAAAAGGCTTTTCAGCGTCGGTTACTAGTTACCCTAAGATCGACCTGAGGCCATTTTTAGCCTGTCACATGTCCAAAATTTTCTTGGCGATGAGGGGGAATCCGCCCCCCCACACCAAACAGAAGGGGGCACATCCCCCTTCTGGCAACCCCCTGATGTAATATTTGGATGGGGGACGGCGCCGAAAAAGTGGTCACTTTTTTAACAACATTTCTCAAACGAAAAACAGTGTTTGGGGCCTACATAGGGCATTTTTTCACTGTTTGAAGCCTCAAAAAGGGGGGGGGCAAAAAGCCGTCGAAACACGCTTATATAAGGGAAAAGGTTAACAGCTATTTTTAACATTGTTGACATTACCATATTATGTTTTATCAAGCAAACAGATTTCTTTGATTCTGATTGGCTTTAACACTTTGTATACTATGTTAACTGGGTTAAGAACGCACGCATAAATTCTGCATCATAGCAGGGCCTTTCAAAGAACCCTGGTCATAGACGGTTAACTTCGTGTGCATAATTTTTTTTTATTGCATTAATTTTGTTCTTTATGACATATTTCTTTACTTCAAAAGTTACATAGCAATGATAGCTCCTCGTGTCATATTTATCTCACCCAGGCTATATTCTCCCGCAACTTGTTGGCTATTTATAACAATAGCTAGTATAAAAGCTTAATCATACAAAAGTATTTTTTATTTAATTTTTATTCATTTCAAAGTCAGTCAGAACAAAAAAATCGCCAATAAATTTATTTATTTCGAACATACAAACATAAGTTGTACATGCATATATATGTTTAGTTAGCCATGATGACATTCATCCACCAGTAATTTTTTACTTTTCACAAAATGTGATATTAAGCAACCTTAGGTAATTTACTTTTCACATATAATTACAAATCATTCTTTCTTCATAGGTGTGCTGAAATGCTCTTGTTTTTGGTTTGTTTGTTTTTTTTTGTTTTTTTTTTATGAATTAACAAAAATTCTAATTAAAACAAAAAGCAGGAGCAGTTACAAACCAGTTTTCAAGAATAAATAATAAGGTTGAAAATTCCCTTCAGAAATGTTAAGAGGTCTTGTTCACAGAACATCATCACTTTTACTTATACTGATAAAATACCAAAGGACCGCCATAATTTCTGAAAACAGCTGTTCTAAGTATTTGATAGTGAAACAAGAGCCTGAATAATGAAGAATTTTCTAAGTTAAAAAAAGGCCATAATTAATCCTGTCAAAAATGATCAAATCACCAAACCATGAAATTATTCACCAGGGCATGTGATGGTCATGTTTCTAGAATGTTTGGTTAAGAGTTACAGGGTATACCTAAAGAAAGCATTTGATAAATGGCACTGATGAAAACAACTGTGTGTAGGAGAGGAGAGAACTTTATAGAACTGTAAACAAATAAACTGAATAAGACAATAACATGGTATTTTCATTATCAGTTTCAATGCAGTTGACAGTAGTTCTAGCCTATTTGAGTACTCTTCAAAGTGGAGGTAATTGCATTAGGTGGGTATGAAAATCAAGACTACAGAACATACATTATTGTATATACAAATATTGAATCACTCACAAAAAAAAACTTTTATTTTCTTTCAACAGCACTAAAATATACAATATAGATCTAGTAGATAATAAATGGAACAAAAACAGTTAATGTATTTTATTATCAATTGCTAGCATCTGGGATATACGATAACGTATGTCCCAGCTACTGAGCTAGCATAAGGGATGTATTTATAATTATTTATTATTGTAATATAAATCCGTGATTAAATCAATTTTGCGTTCGACGCCAGTAAAACAAAAGGAAATATATGGTAACTATTTAAAAAGTTACTGTACTCAAGCAAGTTTAGTTTTTTTGTTTTAAATAAGTCCTAAGGGCTTTTATTAGACTAATATCGGCCAAGGGAGACAACTCCGGTTGCTGTTCACGACGCGTTACGAAACAGCAATATTTGACCCACTTATTGACATACACAGACTTGCGTAAAATTCGGTTTCTGGGTCGTGTGATACTTTCGACCAATCAGAAAAGCGTATTGTGGGGGCGCGACCGCAACGTCATACTAACTTGTCAGACGTGTGGATAAAATCAAAACAGACTGTCAACAATTCAAGTTCATCGCAAACTTTCTGTATTTTTCTTGATTATATGTTTATGTACCAACAAAAAAGTGTATGATCAAGAAGTTTAAGTACTGATTAAAACCCTCTGAGGGTTAGAAGACAAATAAGTTTTCTGAATAAAGGATGAATTTTTCGTTCGCTGGATGTGGATTTCTTGGAATTTATCACGTTGGAGTTGCTAGCTGTTTAAGACAACATGCACCTCATCTTATAGACAACTGCAAGTTTGCTGGAGCATCAGCAGGTGCCATTGTTGCTTGTTGTCTCATTTCTGACTGTTGCCTTGGTATGTATGATATTCGGCTTTTTGCGTATTGATCAAATTTGACAGGTGCTTTGCTTATTTAATTTAATAGTAAATTAACAAATTTTCAATAAATTTTTATAGACAGTGTTATGATTATTATTGTATACTCAGTTGTTAATTGAAAACAAAAAAATCCATCTAAATTGAACTATGAAATGGACAAAGAGTTCAGTACAATAGGGGGCAGGTGATAAAGTCTATATTAATATGTTGTAACAGTATGTGTCAGACTGACGCAGCAGGTGGAACAAATAATTGGTAATTTGTTTTGCTTGAAGCATCGTATCTGATTCCATTGACAATGAAGAGTGGTGAAATAAACTTAGTTAATTTAATTCATTTATGCATGGAGTGAAGCTCTTGGTATATAATTATATAGTATGCTTGTTCCATATTTGTTGTAATTTACTTAATGAAACTAAGTCATCTTTACCGATTGCAAAGGTATATTAAGTCAGTGGCCGCAAGGAGACTTATTTAAAACCTTCAGATTAAATCTTAAATATTTATTTAATTTCAGTTATTTAATTTCAGTTTAGTCAATTATACTTACATGTTTAACAAAGCTTTAGTCTATTTTATTTCTTGTTTTTACAAATATAAACATATTATTTCTGCAGGTGAAAAAAAACATTAACAGGTAACAATAGTTTAAAAGTCTATCAATCTACAATGTATCTCTGAATGTAATTGCCAACCCCATGCTGCATGGATTGTTAGTAAAAAGTTAAGCGATAGTAAGTCCAGAAACTATAAGCATGTCAGGAAACTTATATCGGAGTCTGCAAAAAGTATTCTAGCCATGGTTAAATTGTTAATTAGCAACAATTTTAATTAGTAACAATAAAGTCAATTTTTAGATAAGATAGTGAAAAGACTGGGAGTCGCACTAATACATTGAAAAGCTTAGTACTTCTAGGTTTCAAATCAGTGGTATACTGTATAGTACTATACAGATACTGTAAATAAAAATCAGTGATGAGGTCTGTTATACAACTAAGTATAATATTGTATGTGTTGAATAATGAATACCATTCTAAGGGATACAGACAAAAGCCCCCTCCCCCCATCTAAAAATGACAAGGTGGACAAAAGCCAAATAAAAGTTAAAGGTGCATAATGATACTCATTTAAAATTTATTTGAAGTATAACCCAAGTTTTTAAACACTGTGTGTGAAAAAGATAATTTGGTCTATAAACCTTAGGGGGGATTAGTCTGGTCTATAAACCTTAGGGAGGGGGGGGGGGGTTTGTTTGATTGACTGAGGGTTGGGCTTTTGTCCTATCTGTATTTTTGATACGGGGCTTTTGTCCTATGTGTAAATTTCATGGGGGGGTGGGGACTTTGTTCACCTCATCATTTTTAAGTGGGGGGAGGGGGGGGGGGGGCTTTTGTCCTGCACTCTCACTCCCATTAAAATGGTATAGTATTGCATAACTTATTACCTGTATGTGTGTAACTAAGATAAATGACAGGCCTGATGACAGCTGGTATTTGATTCAGTATCATAACACCTGCTGGGCCTTTATGTTAGTTTACCTTCCTGCTAACTTAGTAGTCATTCTCACAAAAATCACTGCTACAAAACAAAATGTTGTTGGTAAGCAAAAAAAATTATAAAAATGGAATCAAAGTCTGTCTCATTTACTTTTGGCATTGCACATAATTATACAGATGTGTTCTTGCATTGTAATTAAATTTTTCAGTGCATAATATTATTCTCTGTGATTATAAGGGCTGCACAAGAAAGATGAAATGAACAGGCAAAAGATTTTAATTATTCATTGAAGGAGTATGATATTAAAACATATATTATATATAAACATTTCAATTTTCAGGTCAAAACCCCAGATTTAATTATAATTCTTCAATGTTGTTGCACAGTTTGTCTTAAATCTGTGTCACACTGCAATTGATCTTTTGGCTGCACGCGTATGTGTCAGTTTGGTGACTTTAATAGAGTTGTGTATAATAAGATTTAATAGTTAATCTGATTCTGGGTCAAGTATAGGTCGAGAGATTGTCATAGTGTATCGTGGTCAAGTTGTCAAAACGCTGTGAAACCTATGTACATGTTTAATCACATTGCATAGCATGTGAATGACGTTGGTAATAAAGTAACTATAATATTTTATACTCCTTAACAACTGCTAATGCTTTTATTGTATTGATAAATAATTAAAGTTATGAATGGTTCAGAATTTAGTATACATGTACCATTTCAAGATTATTTTCAAAGTTGTGTATTGATTTTATTCTAAATTTTATTGATTTACTGTATGATCGTTTTTAAGGCTTTTAATTTATTATATTTGCAGTGATAATCTGTGAATTTAAGAAACAGCCGATATTTTTACATTTTGTGTGTAATAATATAATATAAAACAGTTTCCCTTTTTACAAAAAAACGTTTGGTATGTATCTTGTTGATGAAGACCTCAGGTGCCCCTCTGTGGGTAATTTCTGCGTGAGCTGGCACCTGAGTAGATTATCACTTACATTGAACTTTGCATTTTGAACCCTTTAAGTTTAAAGAAACTATTCAAAATTCAATACAGGTAAAGGTGGTTTCACATATTCAGGAAGTTAATAGCTAATTATCTATTGGTTTATCACAGTTGCATGTCAGTTCTGAATTCTTATGTAGGTTTAGGAGTCCCTATAGAGAAAGTGACTAAATCTTAAAATGTGTTATCAATGTAAACACTTATAAAATTCTGTATACAAATATTTACAATATCCTATTCAGTTGTTTGAATGATTTATGGAAACTTATGTCTGCAATATATAGATCTATCCGTTCCTTTTAAGGCAAAACTTCAAAGAAAATTTGAAATATGATTTACAAAATTGAAGATAGACTAGTCTAAATCATATATTAAAGATGAGTAGATCATCCATCTCAACAGAATGAATACAAAAAGCCCAGGTTTTAAAGTTGCATACCTCAAGATAAGCCAATGCCAAACTATTTCAAGAAAATCAATCTTGACAAAAATGAACAGAGATTTTGTGAAAAGTAAATATATTGAATAACGTACATGTGTATAATTGGTACAAACCAAATGGCAACTTGTTTAGTCAACAAGCTTAATGATTATAGATCTGATTAATGATCCTGTTAGTGTATTTGAAGAGTAGTTTGGTCTTAACTAAATATATGAGCGATATTTTCATGTTCATTAAAATTGAAATTACCCCTGTGGTTTTAATAAGAACCTCCAAAGTTATCATTGTAAATAATTTAAGTTTATGATTATGTACAAGTTCAAAATGTACATTTGCTACAAAAATAAATGTACAATTGTTTTTGTAAAAGAGTTATTTCATTGCCTTAATCTTAACATATTCCTATAATTTGGAACACTCGAAATATTTTATTACCGTACCTATTATTTCCTAGCAGTGATTTTTTTCACTGTATTTTACAGTCGAATAAAGGCTGTTTCCCCTAGCCCAAAAAAGGTATATTTCCCCTAAAAATTATAAAATTTTCCCCTAAAATGCCTTGTGCTCTTCCTTACCAGAACCATGACTGAACAGCATCTAGAAGACAAAAATCTGTCCCTATAGATAGCCTCTGCTATGTGCCATGCATGTTAAATTGAATTGAAATTAATTTTTTTATCATAAAATGTGTGGGTAATTCTCCATTTTCAGTTGTTGGAATTTGATTTTAGGTTTCCCCCTTTTCTGATTTATCGCGCTATATTTTCCCCTTCAGAAAGCCACAGGTTGTTTTGAAAATTGGAAAAAAATCACTGCTTAGTAACTGACTGAAAAGGCTTTAAATCTTTCCAGGAAATAATAGTTACTTGTAGAAATGAACATAAAATATGAAACTTATGACTGAAATACGAAATTCCTGTACATATTTAAACAAGAAGTGTAAAAAGCTCAAAAATAAATACATTCAGTTTCCTCTCAGTTATTTGTATTTCATTTCAGGTGACTGTACAACATTCACATTACGACTAGCAACAAAAGCCAGGTCTTTCTCTCTTGGACCATTACATCCAAGCTTTAAGATTGTAAAGATTCTTAGAGATGCCTTGCGAGAAGTTCTGCCAGACAATGCTCATGAGATTGCCACGGGAAAGCTGTTTATTTCACTAACAAGAGTTAGTGACAGGAAAAATGTTGTTGTGTCCGATTACAAATCTAAAGAGGAACTTATACAGGTAACATTCAAAACCAATTTGAGACTATGCAGCTGAAAAATTGAATCATTGAAATTGATTAGAATGAATTACAGAGCAAAGTATAAGAACAATTTGTTGAAATAAGTAACTATGGCAAGACTTCCCTAGCAAAACATAAAACTAAAATTGTGACCTTAACAAAAGAATAATTAGTTACCGGTATATGTAGTTTGACTTAGAAATCTTATAAAGGTCTTAAAGACTCAGTTTTTACATATGCATGGTTTTATTCATATGTTAACATGGCATATTGCAAGTTATACTTACTTGCCACTATTTGACTAAAGCTGTAAATTATCTGATTTTTGAAAAAACATTTAATGTTTCAGGCATTGATGTGTAGTGCTCATGTTCCTCTGTACTCAGGGCTGGTTCCCCCAACATTCCGTGGTGTTGTAAGTTCTTTATTGATTATACATTATTGTGGTTAATATGGTATCTAAAAATGATCTATAACAATTATTCTGGGGGTAAATTTGATAATACATAAAACATTAAGCTGCTAAACACTGTTTGCACTTCATTTTAGATAGCAGGTTACTATAGTCTTTGTAATACTTCAATAGTATTTGTTGCTGTTAATTGAACCATTTTAAAGGAACTCCACTGAGGTTAATAAGCGTAAAAACATAAAATTTTATTTTTTCACATAGATAAAATTTAGCACTTCAAACAGAAATACAAATAAAATATAACCAAGAAAAATACAAGACATACATTGAAAATCATATGTTTGTGCTATGCGCAGTCCGATTTGAGTGAAAAGCGTTTAAACGCTTTTCAATTTTGGGTCATTTTTCACTAATATAAAATAATTATTCTGGAAAAACGGAGCAGGCTAATAATCTGATATTTTGCACATAAGTTATTAGTATAGATCTACATCAAATGGAGTAATAATCTCAAAAAATTATTTCCAGTCCTGCATGTCAAAAAACCTCAGTGGAGTCCCTTTAATGAAGCTTGAAGGAGGCTGAACATTTTTTTTTTCAAATTTGAAACATGTTCTTTGAATCATTTATTTTATTAAAATATAAAAAAATATGTTATTTTGACTCGTTTATTTACAAAAAAATGTATTCAATTAACATAGCTCTGGTTGTTATTATGGAAAAGATTGAAAGCTGAAATTGTTTCTTATCAGAAATCTTTGTTTTGAATTTTAAGTAAATGATAATTGGGATATGATAATTATTTTGTATATTGCAGAGATATGTTGATGGAGGTTTGAGTGATAACATACCAGCAATGAATGATGAGACAGTCTCTATATCTCCATTTGCTGGAGAGAGTGACATATGTCCGACTGACAGCACAGCAAATCCTCTACATGTTTACCTTGCTAACACGAGTATGCAATGTTCGATGGAGAACGTGTACAGAATGTCCCGTGCATTGTTCCCGCCACACCCTGAGATACTCAGTGATATGTGCCAACAGGGGTTTGATGATACCTTAAAATACTTACAAAATAACAGTAAGTGTTGAAAGATAAAATTAATAATTATAGATTAACATATTTTGTGGGTTTTTTTATGCCTCTTAAGACATGGGTTTTGCTTTAATATGACATTAATGTGTTGACATTTGCCAAATATTTTCCATATCTCATTTTACTACAATAGTATTAAACAAAGTTTTGATATTCTTTTTAGGTTTTTTACACCAGAGATGATTTTTGTCTCTTGACATATTGATCTATACTTTTTATACAAACATTTTTAACTAAAACAAGTAAACATACTGAATGCATTTCAGAATTATTGTCTTGTGTTCGGCACCTTAGTATTCGTAGTGTGATCACTCCGGTTGCTATCACCATGGAAACAGAGGCACCAGTCATTAAGGAGGAGCACAAGGAGGAGAAGTTGGAGGGGGTATGTGAGGAACATGACTGTTATGACTGCAAGAAAAAGCGCCAAATTGCACTCCTTGATAAACTACCTCAGAAAGTAGGTTCAGGTAAGGATTTAATACTAGGTTTTATCTTTGGTAAATGCAGAATGCTGGATTTTTTTGAATATTTGATTTGATTTGTGAAAAAAAAGGTTATTTTTAAGTGTATAAATTATGTGGTAAGATGGTTAGACCTATTGTTATGCACTTCTTGTTTAAAATTACTATCCACTGTCAGGTTTCATCAATAATAAGTCAAAATGAGCAGAAAAATTGCCCATATGATTTCATTATCTAATTATTTCTTCCAAAATTTTTGTATGGACATGTGAACACTTGTCTCATATTTACATGAACTACTGAGGAGTATCTTTGATCTTCTACTAGTAATGCTAGAATTTGTTTTTAATTATGCATTCCATTGTGTGTGTGTAGGGGGGGGGGGGGTCTGGTCTTCATAAAGTGTATTTATGTTAAAAGTTTAACATTGGTTGGCTTGTTTTAGATATAATACTTAAGATATATTGTAATGTTATATCAAATGCTTAGTGCATATTGTACAGTGAATGTCAAAGAATTTGCAAATGAATAATTGAAGCATGTGACTCATTTTCTTGTTCAAGATTTCTCTGTAGTTTGGCTAACGTCTCAGCATAATCACGTTTATGGGTGTATTTTGTTCTTAAAAGGAAAAAAACAAACTTAAGATATTTAAAGCTTATGTATAGAGAATGTTGATATGCATTAAACTTGAAGGTTTAAAATTTGCCATGTCAGATTGATTATGTACAAGTTGGTGAAAAAAACATGACAGATATTTCTCAGTAATCTCTGATCAAACATCATTAGTTGTGTGTCTGCTTAATTTTTCTTTTTTAATGTTGACTGTGTCTAGGTGGTGTAATTTTTTAGCTAAATGTACTGATATGTAATAATGTCTGTATGAATGTTAATGTATGATACATTTTAGCAATGCGCTTAACATTACAACATTAAAACCCTAAACCTGCTGAAGTTGTGTAATGGGATATCCCTGATTTTAATTTGGAACAGTTCATTCAAAGTTTTAAGGGATTTCAAGATAAAAATACAAAAATTGAGACAACGCCAGTATGGAGTTGGGTCCATACAGATGGGCCAAGCTTTACACTGAGGGCAAAAATTATCACTTTCAGTTCAACCGTATTAATTAAGTGTGAAATGTCAATAGCATAAAAGTGTTTCTTATTCATTCTTTCAATGGGTTCCCCCCCCCCCCCCCATGAAATTGCTATTTTCCTCTATTTTGCTACTGCATTCACTGATTTAAGTATTAATTGTCAAGTAATTTTATAATTAATAATTCAGTATTTGTAATTTGAACCCAAATGAATTACAAATGTATTCATAAATTTTTGTCAAAATACTGTACTGATACTTGACTTAAATAATAATCAATAAAGATAAATAGATCTACATTAAACATTATACATGTGAAATGATAAAATGTTATATCCTGTATTGTTGAAGTGTCATTGTTGAAAGATGAAAGTGCATTACTTTGTAAACTGTTAAAAGAATTGTGAAGCTAACTAAATGGTTATGATATTATTACATTAGATGTACATGTAGTATACTTGTCAACTTAGTTTTTCTTTCTTTAATAATAGGTTATTTTCAGGGTTTATTATATGAAAAAATATTGCAGTTTTTCTCACCCCTTTTCCAGTTTCCTCCAATCTATTAATTATTTGCCAAACTATGATATGGTTTTCCCAACAAAACAGAATCTGCCAGGGTCCATCATCTCTGAAACTTGAAAACAACATGCATACATGTGAAATTTTGCACAATAAGACTATAGTACAAAGTTTTAGACTGAGAACAAGGTCTAATGTCTTAAAATATGGGATTAAAATATAAAAGTTATCAAGTATAAAAGTTATTGAGTGTAATTCAAAAGCATAATTTTATAGCCCTTCATATGACAATTTGTTATTTATAAAGTCAAGTGGGCTTTTTTATATACCGTAATACTGTCAAAGCAGTGAACAAAGCCCACTTAAGGAAGAAACCAAACATGTCTTTTATAGACAAGTGATCTTTATTGAGAGGTTACTTTGTTTTTTATAATCAATGAATGGTTATCAAAGATTGGCCGTTATTTACAGGGTTATCTGTATTTGTAGGTGATTTTTAGCTCACCTGTCACAAAGTGACAGGGTGAGCTTTTGTGATCGCTTTTCGTCCGGCGTCCGTCCGTCCATCGTCCGTCCGTAAACTTTTGCTTTAAATGACATCTCCTCATAAACCACTGAGCCAATTTCATCCAAACTTCACAGGAATGTTCCTTTGGTGGTCACCTTTAAAAATTGTTCAAAGAATTTAATTCCATGCAGAACTCTGGTTGCCATGGCAACCGAAAGAAAAATCTTTAAATATCTTCTTTTAAACAACCCTAAGAGCTAGATCTTAGATATTTGGCATGAAACATCTTCTAGTGAGTGTCTACCAAGTTTGTTCAAATAAATGCCATGGGGTCAAAATTGGCCCCGCCCCAGGGGGTCATTGATTTTCCCTATATGCATATAGTAAAAACTTAAAAAATCTTCTTTTAAAGAACCCAAAGAGCTAGAGCTTAGATATTTGGCATGAAACGTCTTCTAGTGAATGTCTACCAAGTTTGTTCAAATAAAAGCCCAGGGGTCAAAGTTTATTTTGACCCCGCCTCAGGGGGTCAAAGATTTTCCCTATATATGCATATAGTAAAAACTTAAAAAATCTTCTTTTAAAGAACCCAAAGAGCTAGAGCTAAGATATTTAACATGAAACATCTTCTAATGAGTGTCTACCAAGTTTGTTCCAAATAAAAGCCCTGGGGTCAAAATTGGCCCCGCCCCAGGGGGTCATTGATTTTCCCTATATGCATATAGTAAAAACTTAAAAAAATCTTCTTTTAAAGAACTCAAAGAGCTAGAGCTAAGATATTTAGCATGAAACATGTTCTAATGGGTGTCTACCAAGTATGTTCAAATAAAAGCCCTGGGGTCAAAACTGGCCCCGCCCGGGGGGGTCATTGATTTTCTTTATATGTGTATAGCAAAAACTTAAAAATCTTCTTTGAAAAAACCCAAATAGCTAGAGTTTAGATATTAAGCATGAAACATCTTTAAGTAAATATCTACAAAGTTTGTTCAAATAAAAGCCCGGGGGTCAAAACTGGCCCTGCCCCAGGGGTGTCATTGTTTTTAACTATATGTGTATAGTAAAAACTTTAAAAATCTTCTTTTAAAAAACCCAATGAGCTAGAACTTAGATGTTTAGCATGAAACATCTTCTAATGGGTGTCTACCAAGTCTGTTCAAATAAACAAATGAAAGCCCTTGGGTAAAAATTGGCCGGGGGGGGGGGTATATACAGGTGAGCGACCTCAGGGCCATCATGGCCCTCTTGTTTAACGCAGGGTTGAAATTTATGTAAAATTAATAGTAATAATTGATTGTTTCATATTTCTATTTCAGCATTGCAAGACGCTATAGATGATATGAACAAAGGGTTTAAAGGTTACATCTACCGTCACAGGTCACTGCGACTACTGTCCTTCTTGGCAACACCCTGGTTTTTACCTGTAGATATCAGCTATACCTATGCAATGAGGTAAGTATCATATTGTTATCATATGATTTGATATGATAAATGGACAGGTCATTAGAGGTTATTAGAGGCTATTGGTATTGGTCAGTGAATGTAAAAAAGGTCAAATAACCAATATTTGTTTTCTACCCACATACCTGCGTAAATACAGGATTCACAAGGTCATAGTTTAAGTATAGTGCATGTACATGTTAACCAAGATGACCAATTTAACCATTGTTCAAGGATGAATAAGTTAATTTTGCGCAAGGAATATTGGTTTAAAGCAAAATACATGTTGTATAATTGTTATCCTGAAATGGTGCATGTGAAGAAGTTGGCAATGATTAGAGGAGAACAGAATAATCTGCTGATAAAATATTTGAACATTGGTCAAGTTTAATACCTGCTTCTACAAAATATTATAGTATGTGGGCAATATAACTTATTCAACAAATAATGATACTGTGTAAAATACAGTAGGAGGCTCTATTGTAATGCCGCTGCATAATGCAGGAATACCTTGTCTAAATTGAAATAATTCTTGGTCTTAGCATTTCTAAAAAGGCTGAAGGCTTTTGCTAGAATCTTAATGTTGTTTTTTTTAATCTTCAAAAAAATTTAAATTACATTGTAGTTAACTCTGTCCAGAGCTTTTAAAAAAAAAAAATTATTCCAGTTTTCCAGTAGTTAATTCAATAGTAGATCAGCAAAGGATTTCGTGATTTTTTGTTGCCAGTATCATTAACAATGGCCTCTTATTTTGTAGATAACTTATAATATGTATCATATAACCTTACATTTATGTATTATATAACCATATATTATATGTTACAGGTTTCTTGAATATTTACCTCACCTGCCATCAGATGTCCAGGTCATGTACCGAGAGACTGCTGATCTTCTACGATATCTGCTCACCAATATACGTCACCAACGACGTAGATACACTGCTCGGTGAGTGTCCATAAACTGACTTTTACAAAGATTACTTGCTATTGTTTCAATATTGATATCATTATCAAATTAGAATTCTTTGAATATTTTTATAAACACAACGGTCATATGTTGATCATGTGCTTTATAGTTAAAATTGTTTACAAGTAGAGAAATAAATTACATTGTTTGATGTAATCAGAGTTACATATTTGATTTGTTTACATATTCAGTGAAATAATTAAACAATACAAAGTTGAGTAAATAATATAGCAAGTTACCTCTCTGTCTTTATTATAGATGAAATTTACATGTAATATTTATAAAGATATGTAAGCCCCAGTGGCCGATTACAGCAAGTATTAAACTAATAAACTTAAAGGGTAAATGAACAAATACCCTGCTGATGAATAATAACTCATGTAGAGAAATTTTTGTACAATCTGACCAGACTCTTTACTAATATAAGCTCAATTTTTAGCTCGACTATTCGAAGAATATGAGAGCTATTGTAGTCGCCCCGGCGTCGGCGTCTGCGTTGGTTAAAGTTTTTTGTAAAGTCAAATATCTCAATCATTACTTGAGATATTCAATTGAAACTTACAATACTTATTTATAGTAACAAGGTACATCAGATTGACAAGTTGGATAACTCTGCCTACAATATTGACAGAATTATGCCCCTTTTTAACTTAGAAATTTTGGTTAAAGTTTTTTGTAAAGTCAAATATCTCAATCATTACTTGAGATATTCAATTGAAACTTACAATACTTATTTATAGTAACAAGGTACATCAGATTGACAAGTTGGATAACTCTGCCTACAATATTGACAGAATTATGCCCCTTTTTAACTTAGAAATTTTGGTTAAAGTTTTTTGTAAAGTCAAATATCTCAATCATTACTTGAGATATTCAATTGAAACTTACAATACTTATTTATAGTAACAAGGTACATCAGATTGACAAGTTGGATAACTCTGCCTACAATATTGACAGAATTATGCCCCTTTTTAACTTAGAAATTTTGGTTAAAGTTTTTTTGTAAAGTCAAATATCTCAATTATTGCTTGAGATATTCAATTGAAATTTAAAATACTTTTTTATAGTAACAATGTACATCAGTTTGCAAAATTGCATAACTCTGCCTGCAAAATTTGAAGAATTATTTGCCCCTTTGAAACTTAGAAATTTTGGTTAAAGGTTAAAGGTCTTCAAAGATATTTACTTGAAACTTTACACATGCACTTAGGGTCATAATTGGAGGGTCATAATTGTATGTCACTGACCAAGTTCCATAACTCTATCTTGCATTAAGGCTGATTCATATCCCCTTTTCTACTTAGTCTCTTGGTTAATGTTTACATGCAAGTTTTACATATCTCAATAACTATTAAAGATATTTATTTAAAACTTCACATATGCATTTAGGGTCATAATTGTAGGTCACTGACAAAGATCCATAATGCTATCTTGCATTTAGGCTGATTTTTCTCCCCTTTTTCAACTTAGAAATTCATGGTAAAGTTTTGCTTGTTAGCTGTTATCTCAATTACTACTGAAGGGTTTGTGCCTTTTTTTGGGACAATTTTATGCATTCATAATAATAAAGCAGTGATTTACTTGATAAAACATCTTAATTAGAAGCCTTTGTACCTTTTTCTGTCAAATTTATGTATTCATAGGTAATTAGTATTATTATACTCAATAAAACAACCTTGTGACATTACCTTCCAAATAGTCAAGCCAATACTGTATAATTAGAGTCTCTCTAAGGCCTATAACATTAATTTATCAAAAAAAAATTAGACCTTTTGTGATCTTAAAAAATTTAACATTATCAAGGCTCTTTTACTATCAAGCACTTAGAATAGTCGAGCATGCTGTCCTACCAACAGCTCTTGTTGTCCCCCGCCTTTTGGAAGAAAAAAGGGGGATATAGAAATAGGCTCCGTCCGTCTGTCTGTCCGTCCGTCACACTTTCGTGTCCGGTCCATAACTTTGTCATTTATGAAAGGAATTTGAAATAACTTGGCACAAATGTTTATTATAATAAGACGATGTGTCATGCGCAACAACCAGACCCCTACCTCCAGGGTCAAGGTCACACTTGCTCATTCAAGGTCAAAATTGCCTATTTGAGGATATATGTCGTGTCCGGTCCATAACTTTCTTATCTATGAAGGGATTTTGTAAATACTTGCCATAATTGTTCACAATAATCAGACGATGTGTCATGCGCAAAAACCAGTCACCTACCTTCAAGGTCAAGGTCACACTTGGAGGTCAAATATTAATATAGTCTGTTACAGGGTATATTTCGTGTCCGGTCCATAACTTTCTTATCTATGAAGGGATTTTGTAAATACTTGCCATAATTGTTCACAATTATCAGACGATGTGTCATGTGGAAAAAGCAGTCACCTACCTTCAAGGTCAAGGTCACACTTGGAGGTCAAATATTACCATAGTCTGTTACAGGGTATATTTCGTGTCCGGTCCATAACTTTCTTATCTATGAAGGCTTTTTGTAAATACTTGCCATAATTGTTCATAATAATCAGACGATGTGTCATGCGCAAAAACCAGTTGCCTACCTTCAACGTCAAGGTCACACTTGGAGGTCAAATATTAACATAGTCTGTTACAGGGTATATTTCGTGTCCGGTCCATAACTTTGTCATTTATTCAAAGGAATTTGAGATAACTTGGCACAAATGTTTGTTATAATAAGACAATATGTCATGCGCAACAACCAGACCCGTACCTTCAGGGTCAAGGTCGTACTTGTTCATTCAAAGTTAACATTGTCTATTTAAGGGTATATGTCGTGTCCAGTCCATAACTTTCTTATCTATGAAGGACTTTTGTAAATACTTGCCATAATTGTTAACAATAATCAGATGATGTGTCATGCGCAAAAACCGGTCACCTACCTCCAAGGTCAAGGTCACACTTGGAGGTCAAATACTTACATAGTCTGTTACAGGGTATATTTTGTGTCAGGTCTATAATTTTTTCATAGATCAAAGGATTGTGAAAATACTTCGCACAAATAGTCACTATAATAAGAGGATGTGTCATGCGCAACACCTGCATCCCTACCTCCAAGGTCAAGGTCACACTTAGAGGTCAAAAATTAACATAGTCTGTTATAGGGTATATTTTGTGTTGAATCTAGAACTTCTTCATAGTTCAAGGGATTTTGAAATAACTAAGCACAAATAGTCACAATAATAAGACGTTATGTCATGCACAACACCTGCTCCCCTACCTCCAAGGTCAAGTTCACACTTAGAGTTCAAAGCTTAACATGATAGATTTTTAAATTCCGTGTTTCATTTTATTTTTTTAACAAATTTATTGTTACATTTGCAGATCTAGCATTGATCATAATTTTGGACTGAATGTCCTGAGATCCATACCTCAATCTTTTGAAATAGCACAATTTTATGCTTCATATAAAACTCCCGGGGCGGGGGACGTTGGTAACTCTGTTGAAAATTCTTGTTGTATATTGATATCGAAATCCCGGAAACTTTGAATGGATTGTTCCAAATTCAAAACTGAGCAAATCAATGAAACAATACAGCATTTTAATGATTTAGCATGTTCAGGGTTATTGAAAATACATGTACGTATTTTATTTGTTTACGGTTATTGTTGCAGGTTTACGTGTCAGTTAGCCATTACAGAGGTAAATTACAGTCAGATTGACACTGATATTTACCCTCAAGTGGAGCAGAATACAAATGTTATACACAATCCAGTACCTCCAAACTTCAGAAATCTCAATTTTGAATTTGCTATGGATTTGGACAGTGACCTCAGAAATCAACGGCAGTCACATGACCTTAGAAATCAACGGCAGGCATTAAACGGAGCCCTCAGTGCTAGTCATCAGCATCTAGATGCTGTAAGGCTGCTATGTGAACAAAGACCTCGCAGTGATAGTGCTAGTGGGAGGCTTAATTCACACACTTTACACAAACCAAAAAAGCGTACTGAACCAGGCATTGGCCCTGAAGTTTATGACACGTTTGAACAGTGTTTACACGTTACAAATCACATGGAGTCCATAATGGCATATCACTACCAGGATGAAAACAACAAGGACTGTTACAGGTTTGAGGAAATTTTTGCATTTAGAGAAGGGGATATTGATATTTCAGGTCTTCTCAGTAACATTGATGAAAGTGCAGCAGGTGCTTCAGGAAGTCTGAGTCAAGCTAGAAGCTTGTCCCTACAGAATTGTCATTTGAAAGAAGATCTTGAAGAGTTTGTAGGTCAAAGATCAGATGTGTTGGTAAATGAGAATGTCCATATGGAAGATTCATAGCACAGTGAAAGTTTCTGTTTTGTTTATTTATGTATTTCAACTTGATTCATTGAAATTTCTAAAATGTTACTAAGAAGTTAATCTTGAAGAAGCTTATCCTTTTGCAAATCTGGAGAAAAAATTAATTCTTAAGGATACAATTTAAGGAATGTTATGTAAATAAACCATGTTTTGTAAATGAACCATGAAAAGAAAAAAATAGTTACATAAGATTAGAAAATTATTTTGTAAACTCCAGATCAATTTATTTATTCATCATATTACCTAATTGCTGATTTAGAATTTTTGTAAAGTTTTGCTAGAAATGTGTTATAAAAAGAAGAAGCCAAAACATTTTCAGCAAATTGTCACTTATATTTTGTTGCAAGTTTTGAGCTTTACATTTTATTTGTTATTGTCTTTGGTTAATGTTTTTTAGTGCAAAAAAAGGGCAAATTGTATACGATCTTGTTCTGTTTTATTAATGATCAGTTATTATTATATCAAGTGCTTTCTTTTGGATTTTGATGTATGAATTAAGTTGTTAATGTCCTATTTCTAATGTTTGGAAAAGTACACATTTCATGATTGTATAAATCACTTATTTATTCTTCCATTATTCATTGTTTATAATCATTATATATATTATGTATTATTGAATTTATGTAACATGCAATGCAAGTGCCTTTATGTGCTATCTTTAAACATACACAGTTTTGTTTATATGAAAATACTTTGATTTTAATGATTATAGATTTATCAACAGAGGTTATTTGTTGTTAGTTTTTGATCTTTAACCTTTGAACTGCTAGATTTAGGACATTTAACTCTTTAAAGACATTTTACCCTAGACAAGCTTGAACCAAAAGTGGTGATCTTTTGCCACCAGTTTAGTCAGACAAGGCTCTCTCTTCATTTTTTGTAATTTTATATTGAAATACTCTAAACTTCAAATTATCAGTTCCATATTAAAACAGCCTTAATCTTTTTCACAAATCAGCAGTTTAGAGGTTAAGTGCAGGTGGCATTAAGGTAGACTCTATGCTGATTGGTAGCTCAATTTTTATATAGAATTCATTATGTAATATATAGCAATGAACAGGGGAGTGAAGTAAACAGAAGTTATTAATAGTTTTACTTTTATAAAGTAAACGTATTTTGATTTTAAGCACATTTCAACATACACTGAGAAATTCAAGTGATCATAATTTATATATATATATGAGCCGCGTCACGACAAAACCAACATAATTGGTTTGAGACCAGCATGGATCCAGACCAGCCTGTGCATTCGCGCAGTCTAATCAGGATCCATCCTGTTCGCTATCAGTTTCTCCACTTGTAATAGAGTTGATAAGCGAACAACATGGATCATGATCAGACAGCGCGGATGCCAGGCTGGTCTGGATCCACGCTGGTCGCAAACCCACTATGTTGGTTTTGTCGTGACGCGGCTCATATTTGTTTCAATAAAGCCTATATTTAACATTTTTAAGTGATTCTCTTATGGCATTTCTTTTAACAATAGAAGATACATATATATTTTTATGAAAGATACTTAGTAATGATTTGTTATTTTGTAATACCTGAATCACTAGTGATGTATATAGTTAGCCAGCCACTTGCAATTCCATTTAGCAGTTACCTAGATATTGTTTTTACACTCAGATTTTTTTTTACTTTGTACAGATTTTAATTATTTTAATAATTATATGCAGTGTAATTTTATAATTTATAACTGACAACATAATTATATTAAAGTGTTTTCAAAAACCTTTAAAGAAATCTGGAAAATAATGTCGTTATGCCAATTCTTATGGTTAAATCTTCATTGAGTTTTAGCAAAATTTGGTAAAAAAATGGTAACATTATTAAACATAATTATATTTAATTGAATACTTTCAGTGTATCAATATAGTTATCTTTTTGTCACACTGAAGAGACATAACCTTTTTTTTCAAGATAAACGAGATTTATGCACACTTGAAATAAGTAAGATAACCGACTTTAAACAACCTTGGCATTCAGATATAGGTTTGTCATTTAGTACAACAAGTTTAAATGATAGTATCACAAATTAGTATTGCCACTGCTCTGAATATTTGACATTTACTTGACATTTATCCACGTTCTGTTTATTATGAACTCACATAGTTTTATTTTTAGATTGAAGAAAGTTTACTAGTATCGTGTCAGAAATAGTTTACAATGTCAGTAAGTTTGCTATTTTAAGATGAAAATGAGACCGTCCTAGATTTTCGACATTTTAACTGTTATATAATGAATTTGTTTTTACAGTAGTTCATTAACCTGTTGTAACAGAATTTAATTTACCATGGCCACCAGTATAGAGTCAGGCCAGAGACTGTTTTCTGTTTATCTGAGCAGCTTGCCTGGTTATGTCCTATTGGTAGCTCAATGTATCGTTTTTTGTTATTTAAATCAATTCAGATTAGATTAAGAGTGTTTTTTGTTAGTTTACTGCTTGTGGCAATAAATACTTGGCTTGGCTGCTAGTATAGTGTAATGCCTAGGCATTCACATCATACTGTTTACAATTTGATACTTAATTTTGAGTATTTTATTGAAATTTCTTGTTTTAAAGATGTTGTTTTCCATCAAAATATACATAACAAATATTTAAAAACTCAGTTTGATAAACAAAAAGCTATATTAATACATAGTCTTGTCTAATAATTTCCCTCGTCAAATGTTAATTTTAATTCCTTTGTTGTTTTCAGCTATTTTATATGAAAACTCTATGCATATTTTTGTATTGTTATTTTATTTTTAATGAATAAAAATGAAAAGGTAATGTTTATGTATAAAATATATTTAAGTTCTGCTCATTGTTATTGTAACCATTGTGTTTTGAGATATGAAAAATGTAAATGATATGAATAAAAAATAAAAATTACCTTATAATATTTCTTGTTTTTTTGTTTTTTTTTATAGTTTCTTACAGGAAAGACTGCTAAAACAAAACGAACCCAACAGTTATTAGTTTGACTTTAGCTCACCTGAGCATGCTCAGGGTGAGCTTTGAGGATCGTTGAATGTCCATCATTAGTTCACATTTTTTCGTTAACACTCTAGTGATGACATTTTGCCTCTATTACCACCAAACTTATTCAGGATATTTGTGTAAGTTATAAATTGTACAGACGAGTTTTTCGGATGAAAAACTAGGTCACACAGCCAAAATATGGAAAAACCTTGGCTACTTATTTGATCCAAATATCCATGAAATTGGTAAGAAAGATTATTTAGATGATTTCTAGATCAAGTTTGAATATGGGCACACAGACCAAATGGAAAAACCCTTGTAAACACTATCAATGTAATATTTTCAGCCCAATTATCTTGCAGATAAGATTCAGCAAGGTTGTTTAAATCATGGGTCAGCAGGGGTCAAAAACTAGTTGACAGCCCATTGATCGTAAAAACCTTGTTTACATTTACACTATTTCAGGTTCAGAATTGAACTTTATAGTATCATTTTATTTCTTTTCATTCATTGCTTACGCCTTGATAATCACTTGAGCAATATTTTAGGGCCATCACGACCCTCTTTTTTGAAGAAGAAATTTGAGCTTGTAAAGTGTCTTATAATGTTGCCCATCATTGGCCATGAAATTTTTAACAAAGTGCTTAGATGTGAGATGTTGCTATTACTCTTGGTATTTCGTGTGTCAGTGCGTTGTTAGTCCTATAACAGTATATCCTTATTTACCAACAGACCAATATTGTTAAACGTTAGCAGCAATGTTCCTCGCATGAAACTTCAAATTTGTTTGTAGAATTCCATTCTATGTAGATACAACTATAACTTCCATAACAACCACTGACTTACATAGGAACCATTTACTTTCATATCAACTTTGGACTTTCCATAGCAACGTTTGATTTTTGTGGCTTCAATGGCAACCATGGATTTTCCATAACAACCAACGACTTCTTAAGTAACCATGGACTTACCGTAGCAACCATTGACTTTCCATAGTAATCAGTGATTCCCAATAACTTTCTATAGGTCACTGTTTACTCTGATTAGTAACCAGTGACTTCCATTTCCTAAGCAGCCAGTGACTTTCTTAATAGCAACCAGTAAATTTCCATAACAATGAGTGACTTGCATTACAAAACTTTGAATATGACGTGAACACAAACAAGATATTCACAAACAATGTAAAACATGCATTCAAAGTTTATGAGTTTTTTAACTAAAATTTATCATGGAAATAAACTCAAAACAAAATTTTAAAAAACATTACCTTTCCGAAGACACCTGACTTGTCAAGAGAGATGAATACATGTAGTATAAAATATGAAAACCTAATGGCATACCTGGGTTGTACATAAGTTTATGACATCATAATCACATATCAATAAACTTTGCATTATAAAAATTTCATTATAACAATTGCTTAGACCCCTAAAACTTTGGTCCCCAAAGTTGAAATGACTACGAACATAGGCCACCAAACATCATATCATCTTGAGATTGCAGATTGCAAATTACAGACAGTATCTTCACCACGCTCTACCATATAACAACACTCATTGGTTGTGTCAATGCCATTGGTAATACTGCCCCACCTTTCTTTGTGTTACTATGAACATACATTAATAAAATAGCATTACAAAATTGACATTGTAACAAAAAGATACAAAGCATGTACAAGTATATCCACAAAAAAGATATATACACCATGAAAACATTTAAATTGTTCTTTGGTCTGATGCATAGCACGTAAGACATTTAGACTCCTTGGCTTCTCAACCCCTTACAATATTAAGATGACTTCTAGACCCCATGACACCTAAATCCCCTTTTTACATGTCTTTTCGACCCCGAGTGGGTAAGACATTTCGACCCCTATCTCAATTTTAGCTTAAGGAAGAGTTGAATTTCAGTTCAGCGTCCAGGGAGAGTAGAGTTGAGTTGAGTGTACGTTGAGGGTTGAGTTGAGTTGAGCATACAGAAAGAATTGAGTTCAGTTGATCATTAGGGGACACTTGAGTTGAGTGTACGGATAATGTTGAGTTGAGTGTACGGACAGAGTTGAGTAAAACAAATCATTAAACATTATACACTTATTGACTAGTGAGCCATTGAATATGATGTGATATTCACCGGCAAATGTTTAGGCAATAGTCGAGGTCAGTATAACATTTTGCCAGTGAATATTACATCATATTCAATAGATCATTTATTTAACCAATAATGGTTTTATTATGTGCTACTCAACTGTTGCTAAGCACATATGTTTGAATGTAAAAAAAATAGGATAATTTAGGATAATTGTATTAACGCCGTGCGAAAGGTTTTAAATGTTGATTTACTGTTTTATTTATTCAGCTGAAGGACGAATTTAATTTTATAAATGAGTTTTACACTGATTTTGTGCTAAAGAAGAAGATGACTCCCTCTTTGAAGCGCTCAAAACATGCATGCAGCGTGACGAAATGAAATTCTAGCCTAGAGCTCATTCCACATGTATTCTATTGGATTTAAGTCAGGTGAGCGAGCTGCACAGTCGATGCGCTCAATAGACTCCCTATCTATGTTAAACTAGTCCTCTAAGTCCAACTAAACATTTGTATCCTGTTAATCTCTATAGTCCTAAAAAGTAGATGTGCCAAATCAGAATTCGTCACACAATGCAATATCAATAAAACATTCAAATGGCGTATGATACAATTTATGTAAATTAACCAGTTATATTTAATTTCCTTTTCAAATGAATTCGAGCGACGTTCTATCCACATAGCTAACGGAACGTCGGTGTTCCAATTTAGATGCCCTTTATGCCTGAAATAATGCACGGGGGCCGAGGGGCACCTGAGGTCTTTCCCCACCAGTACTCTACACCGATGTACACTCTTCACCTCCTCGACGTCGATGTCTACCTCGTGGATATTGTAGAGTAACCCCGTTGAAGTTGAAGTAAAGACAGAAAGCCGCCGTATGACTACTAGCTGTTGTGTTGGTGTGACGTATTATCCAATCATTATTGATTATCAGTACATTCTTTGTACGGGATACCAACTTATGACGACCATTTTCGGATGTATTTCGTCATGATACGAAGAAAAAGTTAAATAAAGTGGGTCATGGTAGTCCTAATATCGCATGCCTGAATATAAATAATCTTAATTACAATAAACATGTAATATTGTTAACTATAATTGATCTATGGTTGCTATGGAAAGTCAGTGGTTGCTATGGAAGTCAATGGGTGCTATGGAAAGTCATTGTTGCAAAAGAGGTCACTGGTTGCTTTGGAAATTTATTGTTTTCTATGAAAAGTCAGTGGTTGCTGTGTTAGACAAGATTGCAATATAAAGTAAATCGTTGCAAAAATGTATTGATTGCTATGAAATAGTTTATCTTAAAATATCAGATATTTGTATTTATCACACACCCGTGCCGATTTTGCGACTCCGTAAATATGGTATTGCACGGCCGTGCATATATTTTGACGTGACGTCATTAGCGTTATACAAACATATTGTAAAGACGCGCTTAATGTTAGCGTTAAACTATAGGCGCGTCAATGAAAAATGACTCTTATTTTACTTCAAACTACTCGGCCCTTTCCGTCAGTCTTCGGATAAGGATTATAGATAATAGCCGAAGCAGTTCCGAATGATTTTACTTGAGACAGTCTTTATTTTTATTATGTGATAAATAGAATATTAAATTCGTGTAAGTTAAAACTAGATTTATTGCACTCGTTGAAGAGGCTCGCATAATATAATTTTATACAAGTCGTGCAATAAATTCAGTATTAAACTTACACTCATTCAATATCCTCTATATATATTTAAATCCAGGTTTAGAAACATAAATAGTAAACAAAAAGATATTTGAGCCGCGTCATGACAAAACCAACATAATGGGTTTGCGACCAGAATAGATCCAGACCAGACTGCGCATCCGCGCAGTCTGTTCAGGATCCATCCTGTTCGCTTACAAACCATATAGCAAGTAGAGAAACTAATAGCGAACAGCATGGATCCGCGCAGTCCGCGCAGACTGGTTTGGATCCATGCTGGTCGCAAACCCACTATGTTGGTTTTGTCATGACGCAGCTCAATTTTCAGTTCAATGTTTTAGCCTGCTCGGAATACTTTCTTAGTATGATATTGAAAAGTTTGATAGATAAAAGAATAAGTTTTATGCACGACCTAATTGAAAAATAGGCAATAAAATATATTTTATCTGCATGAAGGATGATAGCGACAAACCTTTTAAGATAAACTATTCGTCCTCTACCATGTTTTTTTTTCACTTACATTATACAAACGTGCGGATTAAAACCGAGGGCAAAAGTTAATCTTAAATACATCGTATTTTACACATTGATCACAAGCGTATTTATTCAAAAAGACTTCTCAATGTCTGCTCGAACTTGAAATGATAAAATTAATGTAAAAATTCCATTTTCGATTAACAATGAAACAGAACCAATAGATCAAAAAATTTCTGCAGTCCATGAACAGGCTCAATCAAACCCGAGCCTGCAACATTTTCAATTTTGTCTTGCTGGGCTTTCTTTAGGGATTCTTATTTTCTCTAGTTGTAGTGATTTAGCTGAGTATAACCGCCTGATTGGTTTGTTAAGAGATCTGTCGTATGGTTCATTTATCACCAGAATTTGAAATAATGCAAACATTAGAAAACATGAGAGGGTTAGAGAACATGAGAGGGTTCTTGTCTTTATCCGTGAAAGGAAATGACGATTTTTCATTTGATGTAAACTGTGAACTAAAATAGAGGGTTTTACTAGAAAAGGAGAACAAATCTGTGTAAAGCTGGCGCAAGATATACACTCCCTATTGTCCGTAAACGAGGGAGTTGTGTACTCAATTCTTGAGGACATGATAAGTTCATCTAGAAGACAAATCAGTCGGAAACCATGAATTCGCATACATGTCATTGCTCGCAAGATATGGTCCTAATGAAAAAATGAAAGACACTTTAAAGAAACTTTTCATTTTTTGTCTTGTTCGGCGACGTTTTGGATAAAAAATTTTACCATGAATTTGCAATTTCATTTTGAAAAGAAAAAATGAAAATATAAAGTGAATGGTCTCAGAAGAATAGAATGTGCGTAGTATGGATTGTTTTTATAATTTTATCATAACATTATAAAAGCAGAAGTTATTATACGAAAATGTATAACAGTATGTCGCCGTCCCTTCAACCGTCAGCAAACATAGAAGTCTTTATGTGCAGTAGACGATGTTAATGGTCAATCAAGCGAAAAAAAGGCCAACACTGAAAATAAATATGGAGAGAAAAAACAAAGGCGTATAAATAAACTAGCGTAATTTATTTAGAGAACAAAATATGATTGTCTTAAAATCTGTGTGATTTTTTTTTTGACATTGGTATGACTTTATATATAGTTTACTGATCCGGGTAGCAGTCTGCATCACACGGTCTCACCTCTTCAAATTCGCCTACGCAGAACATGCCATAGTTTGCAGTGCCTTCACATGTACGGCTTCTTGTACTTGCCCCACGTGATCCTTCAGCTATTCCCCCACAAAAACAATCTGTCCACTCGCTCCACGATGTTAATGTTCCGTCAACTGAAAATAAAATTTTCTAAACTGTAATGTAATAACGTCAGAAAAGAATATAATGAAAGAAAAAAATTATCATATAAGAATCAGAGTTCCGACAAACGCAAGAGAGTTCCATTGCCCTGGTGTATTTTAACGGAAATAACAAAAGATCAATGTTTTATATTGTGAAGGTAAGGGCAATGAAAGAAAACGTCCAAGTTTCATGATAAGATAACAACTGTAAAACAGTCAACTGATAAGACGATATTATGCTGGATAAAACTCTCCGACGGCCTTTCATTTATTCAATGATATTTATTATGAAGCAAAACATTTTCATAAAATTCATATAATAAAATACACTGATACTTAATTTTGCGTGACAAGAAATTTTGACCATTTTAAGATAAGTTCATATCTTGAAATTAGAAAAGTTTCAAACCATTACCTGAATTTTCATTCGAAACTCCACAAGCCTTTCTGCATGCGGCATATCTTATCAAATCTCCTTTACAGTAATGGCCTCCATTAGCCGCATTCACACATTCCTGGACCTTAGACCTTACTCCTGACGACCCCTCAGCAATGCCGTCACAGAAACAATCCGAGAAGTCTGATAAACCCGTCATTTCGCCATCAACTACAGAAATGAGATAAGTATGTATTACAATGACAGAAAATATATAGGTATGAATTTGTAATCAGCTTTAAAAACCAACTCTTGCATTTCTTATAGATAAACTATGCTCAATTTTGATATCAGAAAATATGGGTAATCGCTACACAGTCTCTTTGTAAATATAAATTAAACATGTTTTGACTTCACACAAAGTAGATGTTATTGTTGAAATTCTGCACACTATATGAGGTCAAAATATGAATTTAGTGTCATTAAAAACCTGGAAAGAAAGGACCAATTTTACTTGTCCCCTAGTAGGAAACGCAGCTTCCCCTGCATATAAACGCAGCTTCCCCTGCATTGTTTACTTAGTTTTCATTTTTTTATTTGAATTAGACATATTCAAGATTTAAATAAGTTTCTGAGAGTACAATATTTTTTTTACTCAGGGATAAGCGTAGTATATCTTTAAACTAAGATTAACAAATAAAGACCAATATAAAAAGTATAAAATATATCCAAGTCACTGCAGTTTTGTACCAAATGTCTTCTGGGTAAGAACAATTCGAAACCATCTGATTTTAACAACGTTGTTTTTCTTTTATTTTCAAATACATTCAACTATACAATCTTAAATCTAGACTTAATTTCTAAAAAGGCTAAATAGCATGTTTGCTCATTCTGTATGCCGCTATATAAGATATGCACTAAATAAACGACGTCTTGTACATTATCTAACGTTAAATAATATTTTGTAAGAAAAACTAAAATTAAAAAGGTCATGGATGCAAGCCAAGTTCTTTATTCTAATTATCATATTTCCTTCTGATCTCGCACTTTGTGAAATTATTTAAATATTAGTCCTTATAACAATGTCTACATTTTGTTATTACTTCGTGTTCCAGTTTGCAAATAGCATGAACCTTTCGCAAAAAGATGGTTAACACACGGTGCATCGCAGCAAACGCAAATGACAAAATAGCTAACCTACTTGACCTTTCGGTAACGTACACGGACAATAAAATATCTTTCGATTTAGGTAACCCTTTGATTGAAAAGTTGGAAATGTTTCAAGCAGATTATGATCAGAAAGAATTCTAAGAAGCGTTTCGTGTTGCTTAAAACGTTTTGACCATTTTTACACTTTCTTGAAACATTTCCACCAAACGAATGTTTTGCAACAATTAATGTAATCTTAACTTTATAAGAAAACATCAGAGCAGATCAAATCAGTGCTTTCCTCTTCCCACCCACTGCTCTTTCGGACATTTAACAAACTTTGAAAAATATCATCAAAATATTTTATAAAATATTGTTCCTTTTGAGTGACAACGTCTCGTTATTACCAAAAATCTGGAAAAAGGGTCCTTCGCAAGCATTAATCACAACATCATTACATAAAAATTGCAGACTCGTTTGAGTCTGTACATGACTAAAAGTAAAAACTAAAAAAGGAAAAAAACAATCATTAATCCTATTGATGAACAAGTACATAAACTCGACTAACTGCAATAAAATCTAGATTGCTTTTATTTCCTGTGTTCTGTGGATGACTGTAATGCATTTTGTGAAATAAGTGTCATCATATACATACCAGGGCACCCGTTTGCACACGGCTTGCTCTGCAGACTTTCACCCTTGCAATCGGCACCGGAAGCACGTGGCGAAGGATCGTCACATAGTCGATACCTTGTTGTCTGGACTATATCACCTCCAGCTTCTGTAAATAGACGAAATTTGAACTGTAATATCTTTAGTATTATGTTGTCTATGTGTAGTTTTTATGCACCTTGTGAAAATTATGTCGAGCTTTTAATGCATTTATTCTGTACAATACCATTTTACTGTTGTATGCTTTTTAATTGTCTCTAAATTGTTTACGTACTTGGAAAAAAATGTTTCATTCGATTACACCAAAGTTCAATTAAACACGAAGAAGTATTAACGGTGGTTTTTACATTTTAGAATTAGTCGCTTGTTAGTGTTTATCAATTAAAATAACTGAATCATTTGCAAAAATAGATAAATTACAGACCAGACTGTAAAACAAGAATTTCTTGAACACAGATTTGATTGATAGCATATCGACTATGGACAATAAGAAGGGTGAATACCGTTGCAACATTCGGACCACCCACTCCACTGTCCCCAACTTCCGTCCTCCGAAGCCAGAGTGTCCCTTGCTCCCCAATCCTGAAGAATTACGTGTGTTATAAAATCGATCATTCTATTACAATTATTTATATGTAATTACTGATTATATTTAACACAGAATAACTAAAAGCTGCCTTAATTCTAAAACACTTCTCCACATAAAACATTATAACAAGAAGCATGACAACGCCACGAAACCAGGTTTTCAATTATTACCATTGCAGAAAGTTTTGTTGTAGTTGGAATACAAATACAAGTAACGTTCAATGTAACTATGTGTAATGTTTATGGTGAATAATGAAGAAACAAAAGAAATAAGCAACAATTTTGTAATAACATGAGATATTGACATTGATCATAGTGGATGAGGCATAAACAATCCAAGACAGGTAGGTCTTCACATAAATTTGCTATATACCGAGATTTTTATTTTTCAATATCTCACTCCTAACTATACATGTACTATACTAAAACTTAATTAATTGAAACACGTACCAAAAAACCTACCTCATGTCCATCGACATTAAGCAAATTAAAAACAGAGTTTCCTATTTGGAAGCATTATTGAAACTTTAAAATTTGAACTATTTTACAACCTAAATTGAAGAATACATTACCGGATCTGGTAGCGAAGCTGGGAGCGTGCAGCTGTGTTCTTCCAAAGAAATTTTGTCATTCAACTGAAAAACAAGTGTTTGGTGTAAATCTGACCGCTACATATATATGTCGTACAAAAAAGTCACGAGTATTTAAAAATGTATTTTTTTAAAGAGACCATTACCTTGTTGTTTTTACCTAAATTTCTTTCATTTAAAAACAAGGTCCTGATTATACTTTAAACAATATTTGCATCTGGCAATGGCAATCAAATAATACTTTTAACTGTTACTAGTACAAAATATGTCTGGCCAAAAAGCATATCCCGAAGATTCTTTATGAGGTGTACCTTTCTAATAAAGCTTTTTTAAAATATATTAATTTACCTTTTATTTGAAAAAAACTTGTATAAAAAATGTAAATTCTCACCTGATCGTCTGTAACTGTGAAACATGGAGTGTAATCAAATCTTTCATTCATCACTATGGTTATTTTTGGACAGAACTCGCCTGCACAATGATCGTTATCTTCCCTGTCCCAATTAAGATCACGAACTTTTTTCGAGCTAATACGCACATACAACATCCTGCAGGAGAAAGGGAAATATACGTTCTTCTTATAGTATTATACTATTATACATGAAATGCATAATTCATAGGCACTGTCTGGTTTGATTGGTTGTAAAACATTTTCCAATCAATCAATCAATCAATTATTACGTATTTTCAAAGTATTTTATAAATTTCATAAATGAAAATGTCTAATTCGTTAAGATAAGTATGTGCTTCTGTTTCAGGAGATAACTCGAGCAAGTGTCCATACTATTCTAGTGATAAGGGTTTCTTATTTATTTTTTTAGTGTCCAGTTACTGATTCTAAAATGTTACTCATTGGCCATATAGCTTAGTCATCGTTTTATTCTTTTGTGTTTTGGCCATTCATATATACACGTCAGTATATAAATTGGGAACAAACTTTCCAGTTAAAATGTCTTATATATTTGAGACCTGAGTTCTCTCAATAAACATTTTACGCTGCTTTTAAATTTACAATAATTACAATAATTCTCTAGTGGACAGCTTATTCAGCATAAGAACTTAAAGTTATAAATGACATTTCCAAAATAACGATACTTCCAACAACAATTACAATACCGAAACGCATGTACATTCCGAACTTAATTATCTTGTACTCTCAGTAGTTTTTGTTCAGTGTTTATAACATTACATGATTATTTATGTATAATAATGTGTACACGAATACGTAGGCAGTTTCATTTAGAAACATTTCTGGCAGTGTTTCCTAGATCTAGAAATCAAATGCTATGACAAAACTCTTCAAAATAACCTATGTAATTACAAGCAGTTTAACGCGTCCGAGTACTAGTATTTTTGGTTTACAGATTTTTTTCAAAGTGCGTCTGCATGTGAAGTGATTTGGAGCAACGCACCAGTGACAACCATGTAATTTCTAAAAGAGTTTCAAATTAGTAAAAAAAGATTTGAAATCACCAACATTTCAACTGTAAACATCTAACAATAAAAACAATGCTAAATTATACTCTCTTTTGAACATCGCACGTTAAGCTATCAAAATATAGCGAATATTTTACACACGATATCGAACAAAATATTACCTATCCTTAAGGTACAGTTTTTGCATTCGAATATCAGAGGCAACCTCGTCTAAGGAGTCAACATACTTAAGATCGTTACGTGACATTACAATATCATCTGGTGTTGTTGTAAAAACGCTAAAATCATCTTTACCAACACCCTCTGGCAGACAAATTCCGACGACTATAGACTTTCCCCTAGAAAATAAATGAAAAAAAAAGATATAAGAGAAAAATAACATATTTTCAAATTCTTATTGGCGTATTGTAGTGCTGAAGGAATTGTACGAATCGTGACATGTTTTGACATTTTTTAATACCAGCATGGATTGTGTTTATAAAGTTTAAGAAATGATAGGAGCCGCGTCACGACAAAAGCTTCATAGTGCATTTGCGACCAGCATCGATCCAGACCAGCCTGCGCTTCCGCGCAGTCTGATCAGGATCCATGCTGTTCGCTTACCAACCCTTTTACAAGTAGAGAAACTGATAACGAACAGCATGGATCCTGATCAGACTGCGCAGATGTGTAGGCAGGTCCGGATCCATGCCGTTCGCAAACGCACTATGTTGGTTTTGTCATGACGCGGCTCATATAATGTTAGAAATGTGGCTTATGGCAAATTATGCTGAATTCCGATATGTCATGTAGGTGACGTCATTATACCATGAATGTATACTTTATTGCTGCATTGCTAAAAATCACCTACAATCATATTGCTAACGTTATAACTTTTATATATAACATGCTGCTTATTGTCTTTAGTCCAGATTAGAAAACTTCTTGCACATCAGGCAGTATTATCTCCTATTTTCACGATGCTAGAAAAGTCGCGTTCTTTAAATGACGTTTTTTATGAAGGCATTGCGTTCATAAGATGATTTCATATTGCCGTTATAAAGTTGTAAATTCATAAAAGAAATTATGCTACTTTGAGAAAAAAGTTCTGAATAAAAATAGCAGTTTTCATAACTTCTTTTCGGAAATTAATTTATATGCAATATGTAAGAAAAAGGAAAAAATCATAAATATCTAGTCCTCCGTCAGACCTGATTGTTTAGCGGTCACCAGGTTTTGTAAAACAGTTATCCTTGGGCTAGATTTCATGGTATGTACCAGGACTTTAATGAAAGATCCTTATATTCTGTATGTGTAACTGAATTATTAAAAGATGAAAGATCTTATATACCAGACGAATGACCGTGTATACATGTTGATAAAGGTCAATATAAATAACAAACTTTTCAACGCTTAAGCCTGTTGTTCGTAAATTCTTCGGGAAATCTTCAATATACTGGAACTCATAGTAGAATTCATTTTCCCCAAATATTGTCGTGAATCGGTGCTTCAACATGACGTCAGCATGTTCGGCGGATATGTCATCATCATCGTCAAAACGACGCCGTCTCACTTGTCCTTGATACAAATTGAAATCATCTCTGCTTGTTCCTGGGAAAAATCCCGTAGCTTGCATCCTCAGCTGAAATGTACAAGTAGTCCAAAATTAGGACCAATAATTTAGTTAGCATTGGTACATTCAATCAAGAAAAAGGGCAATTAAGTCAAAATGCTGTGTGACGGTTTACCTTTTGAGTACTGTTCGCTATTGCTTTGTTTGAGTGTATGTTAATTATGAATCTGCTCTCAAAAGGTGGTCAAACCTATAGTATTTCAAACCTTTTAATCAAATGTTGCATATTTGCATTATATATTATGGCTAAACAATAAGACAATAATAGTCAATTGCACTCTTTTTTTCTTTTTGAATATTTTCTGGTACAACAATGCTAACCTTGCCATTTAGATCATCGCAAATAGCCATGTTCCAATTTTCCCGGAGCTTACAGTTCTCGGTAATGACGTTTGGTTCGGGTTTTATAACCTGTACAGGTCCTATCCATTCGGAGTCTGAAGGACAACGTGTGACTGAACCATCTACGTCACGGAATGTAGAAGCCTCTTGCATGTCTACAGATAATACACCTTGAATACTGTCATCCGAGAGACCATCAGTAACACGAATACCACCTTCCTGTAAATTGGAGAGGACATTGAACTTGTACACGTGAGTGTTTTCTCGTATATATGCGAATGGTTTTATCTGAATATAATAGTTGTATGTGCTCCATTTTTAATCATTTATATCAGCATTACATATTATTTTATAATACTCGCGCGTTTTTAAAATCGATTTTCAGGAAAATTTAATATGTACATTTTTGTGTCCACAATTACAAATGCTATAAATTTATGACCGTTATTAAAAACTAGAACTCCGAAAGTCGGATGTGTCGACTTGTGAACAATGTAGTTTAGGAGAAATGGCCAGGACAAAAATGAAATATGAAAAATAACAAAGGGCAATAACTAAAAAAATAATAAGTGCAGAGCAGCAGTTTCTGTGCACTGCACTTCTTATTAATAAGATCTATCATTCTATGATGTTTCAAGTCCACAGCTTTGATACTTGAGGAGAAATGACCAGGACAAAAATAAAGTAAGAAAATCAACTGTTGTGTATAACTCTGTTATTCATTGGTCAGAATGTATTACTAATAAGCCCCGCCTACTAACCCTATCTTAGCATGTCCATGCTCTGTATCAAATCAGTTAATAAACGATAGTTCAGCATTAAAGACGTGTTACTTCTCTATAGAAAACATAACAATCTGGCGACGAGGATAATTGAACATTAAATTTCGGGGATTTTATCTATTAGATATTAATGTTATTATCATAATATGTGTAAAATTCTGGATTTAATTTATAAGTGTTAAAATGGCTGCATTAATTGGACATTTATCTGGATTTGATGGCAATTCAGAATCATGGACATGCTATCAAGAACGTTTAGAGCAGTACTTTTTAGTAAATGAAATAGACGATGAGAAAAAAGTTCCAGCTTTATTAACTTTACTTGGAGAAAAAACTTACGGGTTACTTCGAAATTTGACATCACCGGACAAACCTTCAACACAGTCATATGACGATCTTTGTGAATTATTGAATAAACATCTTAACCCAAAGCCATTGATTATAGCTGAACGATTTAGATTTCACAAACGAAACCAAGCGGCGGGTGAAAGTGTAAATGATTATGTAACTACACTGAGGAAATTGGCAGAACATTGCGATTTCCAAGCCAGCCTAAACGATACGTTACGGGACCGCTTAGTTTGTGGACTTAAAGATGAGCACATACAGCGTAAACTATTGTCGATGGAAGACTTAAGTTTAAAGAAGGCTGTTGAAACAGCAGTTGCTATGGGAACAGCAACGATGGACGCCGCAGAACTTCAGTCGTTGACCGCAAGTGTAAATAAGGTTGAGAAAAAAAAACCTTCGAGAAGAGTTGAACACAGGCCACGGCAAAAACCGGCAAACGCAAACTCGACCGTGAAACAAAACGGAAAGTGCATTTACTGTGGTAAAGATAATCATGCATCTTTCAAATGCCGATTTAAGAATGCCATTTGTCATGCATGTAATGCACAGGGACACATAAAAAGTATTTGTTTGAAAGCACGTGCACGAGACGTACATACCACGGCGTTCCTGTGATGAGTATAAATTCCGTGACCAAAGGTTCGAGTAAGAAAATCACCATCGCACCAGAGATAGATGACAGACCTATACAAATGTAAGTCAATATGGGCTCAGCTGTTTCTCCGATGTCAAGAGAACAGTTCCAGGTGTTTTGGAAATGTAAAATTGGATAAGCCCTCATCTGTGTTAAAAACATATTCTGATGAAGAAATAATACAAGCCGGAACGAAACTGGTAAATGTCAGATACAATGGACAGTCAAAATTGCTTAAACTGTGTATTGTCATGGGCAATGGTCCCGTATTGTTTGGACTGGACTGGATGAATGAAATTGTATTGGACTGGTCACGTATTGTACATGTCAATTCAATTGATGACCACTCAACATAGACACGTATTGCCGATATTATGAATCGATAAGAGTCAATCTTTTCCGACGGTATTTGGGAAGTTAAAGATATTAAAGCAACATTATCTGTCAAAGAGAATGCGTCACCGAAATTCGTAAAGGCTAGGCCAGTACCATATTCGTTAAAGCCGAAAATAGAAAACGATTTAGATACCCTAGAAGAACAGGGCATTATTACGAAAGTGAATACATCAGAATGGGCTACACCTATTGTGCCCGTTGTTAAATCTTCGGGAGGAGTAAGAATTTGTGGAGATTTCAAAGTCACCGTAAATCAAGCTATAAATGTAGATAAATACCCACTTCCGAGAATAGAGGACATTTTCGCGAATTTGGCAAATGGAAAGAAATATTCAAAGTTGGATTTACGCCAAGCATATCTTCAATTGGAGTGCGATGACAAAACAAAAGAAATGTTAACGATTAACACTCACAAAGGTCTATATTCTTATAATAGATTGACATATGGAGTATCATCAGCACCTGCAATATGGCAAAGAACAATTGATCAAATTCTTCAAGGAATACCAGGAGTACAGTGCATTCTCGATGATATGGTCATTACAGGAGAAAATGATCAAGCTCACTTAAATAACTTAGAAACAGTAGTGCAACGGTTGTCAAAATATGGTTTAAAAGTGAATAAAGAAAAATGTCAGTTCTTTCAAGAGAGGATTACATATTGTGGTCATGAAATTGATGAAAACGGTCTGTGGAAATGTAATGATAAGGTGGATTCTATTTTAAATACACCACGTCCACAAAATGTCTCATCTCTCAGGGCTTATCTCGGATTACTAAATTACTATCATAGGTTCTTAAATAACCTAGCCACGGTAATTAAACCGCTTAATCAACTGCTAGAAAAGGGGCGTAAGTTTGTTTGGACTAAAGAATGTCAAAACGCGTTTGCGAAATCAAAAGATTTGATTACGTCAGAACCCGTCCTTACGCATTACGATCCGAAATTACCCGTACGGTTAGCAACGGATGCTTCCCCTGTCGGTATTTCTGCAATATTATCACATGTAATGCCTGATGGCAGTGAGAAACCAATTGCATTTGCAAGCCGTTCGCTATCAAAGTCTGAAAGAATGTACGCGCAAGTACAAAGGGAAGCTACTGCATCTGGGCAGTACACAAATATTATCCGTATCTATATGGCCGAAAATTCACGCTGATAACAGACTGTCAAGCACTGTTGTCTATATTCTCTCCGAGCAAGGGCATTCCTGCCACTTCTGCTGCAAGAATACAACGATACGCGGTTTATTTGTCAGGCTTTGATTATGATATAGAGTATAAAAGTACTAAGAAGCATAATAATGTCGATGAAATGTCACGTTTACCCGCGCCATCAATATTAGAAAATGAAAGTAATTTTGAGAAAGTATTTTTCAATGAACAATTTGATAAAGTTCCTATAACTAGAGCGCAAATCAAGCGTGAAACGCAGAGAGAAAATATCTTATCGCGCGTTTACGAAAATGTAAACAAGGGCTGGAGTCTGAACTTAAATGACCCTGTCCTGAAAGGTTATCACACGCGCCGGAACGAATTAACTATTCAAAGAGGCTGTTTAATGTGGGAATTAGAGTTGTTATTCCTGAGAAACTCAGAGAGGTCAAGTTTTAGATCTTCTGCACTGTAGCCACAGTGGAATAGTTAAAATGAAAAATTTAGCGCGAAGTTATGTCTGGTGGCCTGGCATTGACTCAGACATTGAACACATGGTGAGACAATGTCAGGGCTGTCAGATGCAGCAGAAAATGCCAGAAAAAGTTCAACTTCACCCATGGGAAAAGGCGCGCTCTAATTTTGAACGCGTTCATATAGACTTTGTAGGTCCATTTCTAGGTCATATGTTCCTAGTAATAGTTTGTGCTCGAAGCAAATGGGCTGAAATAGAGGATATGGGAAATTGTACGTCTGCCGAAAAAACAGTCAATGTATTAAGGACCATATTTAGTCGTTATGGTATACCAAAACAATTGGTAAGCGATAATGGTGTACAATTTACATCAGATTTATTTGCGCAATTTATGAAAAATAACGGTATTTTTCATATAAGAACCGCAGTTGCTAAACCGTCCACAAATGGTTTAGTGGAACGTTTGAACGGCACTTTTAAGTCAAGAATTCGAGCAATGAAATTTGATAAAGGAGACCTAAATCTTAAGTTGGCAAATTTCTTGTTAACATATCGCAATTCTGTCCATCAAAGCACACAAGAAAGTCCTGCAATGATGTTTATGGGCAGAAGTTTGCGAAGCAAGTTAGACTTATTAAAACCGGATATAGACGGTTATGTCGAAAAACAAAGAAAGAAACTCGCAACATCGGAATCGCGAAAATTCCGAGAGTTCAAAGAAGGAGACTCAATAATAGCGCGAGACTATAGGCCTACTTCAACCGAAAAATGGTTATCGGGTACAATTTTATCCCGCGAGGGACCTCTCATGTATAAAATTGATATCGGTAACAATCAAGTCTGGAGAAGGCATGTTGACCAGCTACGGAAATCAGAAATGAATAATGAGCTTTCTCGCCGAGAAAGTTCACCGTTAAACATGATCCCGCTTAATTTGTCAGAAATGCCAGTTATGTCCGAGAGAAATGACCCTTTGTTAGTAACTGGTAATCCTGAGAAAATGCCATCATTAAATGAAAATAAAAGATCAGATCAAATGTTAATGGAACGAAGATACCCATTGAGAGAACGCAAACCACCTAATCGTTTCTCATACTGAGTTGACTACGTAACTGTATAAACATTCGAGAGCGTACAGACAGTTAATGTGCTATCTAATTAAACATTACACTATTTTGTTGTAAACATACCACTGAATGAACTCGTGTGAACTGTAGTAAAAGTCAAAGGTGAATTACGAACAATAGGTCGATAGTTTGATCTGGTTTACGAATGAATTAATCTCGTATATCTCATGTTGTTAAATGATTCAACCAGTTGTCTCTTTCTTGTTATTTGATTATATTTTTAGTATTAATTATATGATAATGGACTAAAATGTTAAGAAGGAAGAACTGTTGTGTATAACTCTGTTATTCATTGGTCAGAATGTATTACTAATAAGCCCCGCCTACTAACCCTATCTTAGCATGTCCATGCTCTGTATCAAATCAGTTAATAAACGATAGTTCAGCATTAAAGACGTGTTACTTCTCTATAGAAAACATAACATCAACAAAGGGCAATAACTCAAAAAATAAGAAATGCAGAGTATCACTTCTTATGCACTGCACTTTTTCTTAATGATATCTATCATTCTATGAAGTTTCAAGTCCATAACTTTTATACTTTCGGAGAAATTGCCTGGACAAATATTAAGTATGAAAATTAACAAAGGGCCATAACTCAAAAATTAAGAAATGCAGAGTACTGATTCTTGTGCACTGCACTTTTTCTTAATGAGATCGATCATTCTATGAAGTTTCAAGTCCATGGCTTTTATACAGTAGGAGAAATGGCCCGGACAAATTTAAAGTATGAAAATTAACAAAGGGCAAAAACTCAAAAAATAAGAAATGCATAGTACCTGTTATTGTGCACTGCACTTTTTCTTAATGAGACCTATCATCCTATGAAGTTTCAAGTCCATGCCTTTTATACAGTAGGAGAAATGGCCCGGACAAAAATAAAGTATGAAAATTAACAAAGGGCAATAACTCAAAAATTAGGAAGTGCAGAGTACAGGTTCTTAAGCACTGCATTTCTTCTTAATGAGATCTATCATCCTATGAAGTTTCAAGTCCATAGCTTTTTTACTTGAAGAGAAATGGCCCGGGCAAAATTAAAGTATGAAAATTAACAAAGGGCAATAACTCAAAAAATAAGAACTACAGAGTACCGGTCCTTGTGCACTGCACTTCGAGTTATTGAAAGAAGCATGCATACCAAGTTTGAAGTCAATCAGACTTATAGTCACTGAGTTATGCTCCGGACAAGCTTTAGGGGACGCCGACGCCGACAACGACGCCGCCGACACAGACGCCGCCGACAAAAGTAACCCCTATATGTTACCTTTTCAAGGCGACACAAAAACACCAAAAACCTAACCCCATATAACAAAGCCAGTAAATTTAAAGCTATATCTTATTCCATCAACGAAGGTTTATTTTACCCTGTCTTTTAAACTGTATCTTTTATCAGATATATTGCCCCATTTACAAAGCCATATTTTACCCCATCAACGAAGCATAACGTAACCCGTCATCAAAGCTATATCAGATCTTTATAGTACCCAATCAACGAATCAATAACTTACCCCATCAACAAAACCAAATCTCATATCAGCTACACTGCTTGTAACGGATGTATCTGTTTTAAATTTAGGTGCAAATCCAATCGCCCCTGTGATATAAGATTCGTTGTATTTAAAACCGTCAAACCAGCATTTCCTGAAGAATGTTGGACCGTCGTGAAACACTGTGCCAAGGACCTGTCCAAGTCTGGAAATAAGTAAGATAACTTTCTAAGGGAAGGAATAATATAAACTTAAAAAACTGGAATATATTTAGAAAATTTCATAGCAAAAGAAATCATAATTGATATAAGACGAACAACTAGGCGAGTCCAAAATGATTTTTTATCTGTGTACTAGTTCAAGCATATCCTGGTATTGTGCCCGTCTATTATGTGATGGATTAACCAGAACGTGACCCCTTTACGTCCGATATTTAATATATTGGATGTCACATTGGGTTATTATTATAAACACATGGACACAATCAAGAAGATTTTCATAATGAGAAATAAAAACAAATGATTCATAAGTACATCTGACAAAGGGAAGAGAAATGAAAACAAAATTACGAAGTTGGTTTTATTGTAAGTTTTTCATTAAGGTCAGATTATGTGGCAAGTCATTTATGCCACAAATGAAAATCATACAATACAGGTACAGTAGGACAATGGTTAGTGCAAGTTTTTGTTCATGCCTCTGGTGCAGGCCTACCCGTGTATTCTTATATTCATGTACAAAAATCTGAGCTGAGTCAAAATGGCCAAATAGAACAGTAGCTCTAGGTAATGCAGAGGAGCTTCAAAAGACACAATCTGCCATCGCAGTGTCCAAAGTGACTATGTAGAAAGATATAAGACGAAAATAGGAAAAAGGAGAAGACTTAAATTCCTGTAAAACTTATAATATTTACTCTGATGGTAACAGAGCGTCTGGATAGCTCTGATCTTCATTGTTCTTCGTTGATAGACCGAGGAAAATACTTTTTGTTACATACATAGCCTGGTCACTTCCTCTGAAAATAATAACATATTGTACCGAGTTAAATAGCATTCCGATTTGTCAAATAATAAACATGAATGTACGTTTTCATAGATTGCACATAAGGAGGTGTGAACGTCGTCATCCATGGCAAAAATGACAATAAGGTAAATCAGTTTGTCCTCGTGAAACTGTTACTATTGCTTTTATCCATACAATTTGACTATTTTAAATCTTTAAAGAAGATGATCAGAAAAATCCATTTATGCCCATGCAGTTGATCTTTAAGCCTTCACATGCTGAAACTTATTGTTGTTAGACTCAGACACCAGAATGGAGGCCAGTTTTACCTAACCCCGTCACAAAAGACATATCTTACCTCATCAACAAAGCTATATCTTGCCAGCGTTCACATTTGTACAGTCAAACCACGCTTTAAAGTTTATATACTATAATAATAACTGTATACTGTTGATAGCTTGATCTTAGTATTTCGATACTGATATCCTTTAAATTCAAATGGACTGTTCCGAATTCAAAACAAAGCATATACACTATACACACATTCAGTAGGTTCTGGGTTGACTGTATTTTAATTAGAATATAAATCGTTCAAATCATTGTGGAATAACAGTAAGTCACATTTGACAACATATCTGTCAATGTTTATAACTTTTTTGCACTAAACAGTTTCACTTACCTGGCTAGTTGTAGACCTTTCTTACTTTCTGCAGACCTGAGAACAGATGAGAAGATAAGTAATAAATGGATGTTTATGAAAATTTATGTTTAATCAATATTCAAAGGTTTATATCTTTTTATGTTGAGCTTCTTTTCGAATTTTTTTTGGCTACTTTAACAAGCAATTAGCAAAGTTCGTCCTAAATATATCTTTAGAGAAACGATGACTTAGTTATTAAGCTATCAACCCAGAACATTTTGGGTTCGAACCCTACTCGGGAAACGACCATGTTTCCTTATATGAAACTAGTACAAGTAAGTTCCACGATACGGACTTAAAATTTTTATTCTTTGTTTTAAAAAAGGAAGAAAAAAACTTGTTAAAATAAATGTCTAAACAAAATATATTTCTATAATAAATAAATGATACAATTAAAAGATTTTATGTTCATACTATCAAATCTTAAAGTCTGTAGAATTTTAAGAGACTTACGACAGCTGATAGAGTTCGAACCATCCTCCCCGCAGCCATACGTTGATTTCTCTATTCTTATAAGCTTAAAAAAATTGTTTCCTGTTACTTAACGTGTTAATAAAATTACTATGATATCAAACAACAGTTAGTAAAGTAAAGTTAAATAAAGTATAGTAAAGTAAAGATGGAAATATTAAGTTATAGAATATCCTATATTCTGTTTCGCTTCACTGTACATTTGTACATCATAATGGTGGCATGATTATGCACACACAACAAAATCTTAGTTCTAAGTGATCGAAGAAAAATGCACAGAAAATAATAGTTTATAAGTCGTCCTCGATTTAATTTTCTTATTTTCTTTCGATGTCTTTTTATTTGTTTGTTTATGTTTTCTTTTACTTTGTTATGTTTTATTTATTGTAAAATTACGTGTACGTTACTACTATATTGTACATGAAGGACACTTAAAAAACGCTGTGTATCAAATGGATAGGTCTGTTGTTCGGATTGATTTTTGATTTTCAAATCTATGACTTCATGTATTATATCAATGTTGACTTTTTATGGAGATAAATTTTATATAATATCCCTATTAAATTATAACGTTATATCCTCAGATCATTGTTCTTCAGGTACATTCATGTCAGTTTCAATAGTATAAAAAATAAACAAAAACATTATCCTAATCTTCCTTGATACTTGAACAAATAAATATAAAAACAAGTTTACCTGTGAGTCTATCTAGCTGAACTTTGACCCCAGGTGATGTGTCGTCGAATGGATTTTCCCTCGTCTCATAATTCATACACGCTGCTACTTCTCCATCTTCGTTCTTCATAATGAAGTCGAAATTATAGCCTCCCTTTAATGAAATACAAAAAAAGTAACATGCTTATTAAAATGAAATACTGTTTGGGAAATAATAACTTTTTGATTTAATTTTCAGCAGTTCAACTTCTCGAGGTCACGTTTTCGAATTCACGATTTTAACTTCACGAATTCAGCATTTCAAACTTCATGCATTCAACATTAGAATTCATTATTAAAACTACATGTACACGAATTCAACTTCATTATTTCATTATGAGGTCTATTATTATTATTATTATTATTATTATTATTATTATTATTATTATTATTATTATTATTAATTCAGCTTCGATTTGATTCATAAAATATGAATTGCGAAGTCTTTAAGTTAAAATTACGTATTCATGAAATTAAAGTCGTGAACACCTGAATTATTGAATTCGAAATGTTAAAAACGTGAATTCATGAAGTTAAAATGTCTCCACTTTTCATACTTTACTGTGATCAATTTGAAAGAGTTAAATGGTAACATTAAACTCTTGTTCAAGCTTAAATCGATCAAAACTAACTGTACTGTCCTTGATGCATGTATATAAGAATATACATGCATACGCTTTAAATTTAATTTAAAAAAAACCCCAATAATTATGAAGTATGTAATTTTCAGCAAAGAAAGTCATTCAAACTGACGTGTAACATTTTTGTATACATATGCACTTTTTATTCTTTTTTCTTTTCAATGAATATCATTATTATATCAGTGTTATTTAAAAATCAGCTTTCTACAGTCATACCAGATGATTAGAGTGAACCACATTGTTATCAAAAGTCCACAACGCTGTGTGTTTCGCTTCGTCTAATTCGTATGCCAGACCTTCTGATGGACCAACTGGTTCAATTGGAAACGTGTACCAGATTCCAAAACCCTGAAAATAATCATTGGTCAATCATTTATCATCTTTAATGAATCATTCAACACTGCAGTGATTTCCATTTCCTCAAGTGCCGAGTTTGTTTTGACTTTGCTAGCACCTCTTTCCAAAGTTATCAAAGAAAACAACTACAATGAATGGAAATGTGATAGAATTATATAATGAATTTATCAATTTTAAAATAATTTTGTCGTTTGAAAATTGTTGTCATTTTTTAATTTTAAAAGGGAGATAACTACCTCCGAGCCTGCAGCAACGTTGTCAACCATTAAAGTCTTAGGATTAGTAATCCAGAAGGTGGTTGGTTTTCTGAAAGCAAGTGAATGAAAACATGATAAATTCGTCTGCTATGGCAATATACGCAATCCATATTTGTATAATGTTTAATACAATGTAACATCAGAAAATTAAGGCAATTTCTACATTTCGTTGTTTTTTGTGTGTTGTTCTTTTGTTGTTGTTGTTTTTTCTTTAAAAAGTGCTTATTCCAAGAGAGAGGCTTTTCAAACGACGGTTGTAACACATACTATACTGTATCGCTCCTCAGAAATTATAGATAAAGCTGATCTTGGTAGATTTTTTTAAGAATCAACATCCACACTACAAACACTTATATAGATGAGACATCATAACAAAATATTAGTTAAACCTATACACCATTAGTACTTATACATAGTTCGTTGTAACCAAGTGGATTGGTCAAGTCCTAGCAACTATAAATAATAATAATGTCTTTTATATGAGATATTACAAAAAAGATTCCATCTTATGTGTAATGGGAATCATACCCGCGATCCGTGTCGAAGTCATTTGATATTTTTCTTGTTTCGGCGCCAAGGTTTCCTCGAAATATTGTGGCTTTTTCAGCTCCGTCTTCCAGGAAGTACGTGTGACCGAACACACTGAATGCTACATTCTCATATAGCTGGAACAGATGACAGTGAATATAGATATTAATGAACTTAAAACCGTAAACCATGTAAAGCCTGCTGACGACAACATAATTTACCCGTGCGACCAGTGCAAACCAAGACAGTGTCGTACCAACTGGTTATTGCCTACACTGTTTCCTATTTAGACTGTACATATTTTGAAATATTCACCAAATTTGGTGAATAGTTCAGTCAATATGGAAAGATGCGCAGGTAGAGGATATCGAGAGAGGAAATGTTTAAACAGATCTTTATATCCATTTTTATGATTTGAATGTCCGTTTTTTTTAATCTATTACTTATTTTGTTAATTTTCGCATACTTATATAGTATATTATTATTTTTAAAAGGAAACTGTATCACGAGTTGATTTTTACCTGAACGCCGGGCTTTTCTACAGAGGTTCCAAAAGTTCCATGTATAGTTATAGCTCTTCTATATGTATGGTGAATTGAATTTCGCTTGATAATGGCTGTTTTCTCAGTTATGTCTTCGCACATGTGAAAATGTATTGGGTAAAACCCTGAAAGTGATACATATAATGGTTTTAGTTTACTAAGAAAATATGGAAATGGTTGGGATATTATCTAAATATCAACATGAAATATCATTTAATTGATAAAATGTCATCGGCTAAGAGCTGGCCCGACATAATCATGTTGAAACATTGCTATTTGTGATATTGTTATGATCTAGGAACTGAAAAATTCTTACAATTTGCATTGAAAATTTGACAGGCGCATAATATGTCAAAGTTAGAGTAAACTTTTCCTTACATCTTTTTGCGCGATAATATATGAACAAAGAAAAGATAATTAATTATTCCTAAATAATGGGAGTTTTTTTTCTTTGACAGAGAATACATTACCTTCGTCCCTAGCTTGTCCCATGAAAAATAACTCAGCTCCTTGTATCACTACAGAACTAAAGTTCATAATCTGGAACAAAAAGTCAACCACGTGAACACAGTGTTTCATTGAAAAACGGGGCAAAGCATGCTATATTTGTACTGTTTTTATATTTAAGGAACTTCTAGTAAAACACCGGAACTGTTACTGATAAACTTCCTAAGAGTTTTGATAATATTTTATTTCTACCGTGTCTCGCAATATATACATAGCATACATGGTACCTTTGTCATCGTTAATTTCAATAGTTGTAAGTTCGATTTTCCGCTCCACCACAAACTTCAAGTGAGACCTTAAAATCTGAGCACCCATGTATTTGTGCTCTATAACGGGCATGTCAAAATAAGGATTCCTTAAGAACGACTAACAACTAATTCTTCAACTGGTAACCAATATGCGAAAGTATTTATCTGTAGCCATGGTATTCGGTACTTATCCAATATAAGGCATAGCATTTGTTATCATATTTTTTAATTCATAAATCTAAAGAGATTTTAAAAGGTTATAAGAATATACATTTTGGAGAAAAAAATGCATGTAAAGAGGTTCTAAAAAGCGAGTTTGTGACACGAAAAGATTTATACGAGCGTAATGTGCGAATAAGTATTTAACAAACTAAATTATCTTTGTATTCATTGCAACCTTTTCTGTACATGCATACACCTCGTATAAGAGATTTTAAAGGGCATTTTTACTTTAATATGTCCTCCGTATGCGTCTGTATGTCTCGGAACTACATCGCAATATCCATTCTCTGCTGGGCAGCCTCTCTTCTGTACACCGGAAATCTTGATGTTCCTTGACAAAAGAGCAACTTCCCCACGCATATCAACTCCACTTTCAATTTCACCAAAATGGCGGTACTGAAGCTCGTCTGTGAATAAGATATTTAAGGTCAAATGATTTAACATGAAGTTAGTGTAAAGAAATGATATCTATATTTCCTATCAACTTATCTTTATAGGTATATTTGTACCATTCTTCAGAGATAGAGAATAGCAGGAATTTTCAATGGCCGATAAGTATGATTAAGCTATAAAATCTGAGATATAGTATGAAATCACGGACCTCAATGAAATGGACAACTAACATTGTTATTGCCGTACACAACACAGTAAATACCGGTATAGATGATTACATCTCTAATTGCCTATTGTGTATAAGCAGTATCTCAACAAGCAGTAGCTCAGCAACGTACGTATTGGCGGACATATACTTTACTAGATTCCCAGGAGTATGTATAACTACCAACTTGTTTTCTCCGACCTTTGCAACAGTACATGCATGGGTTTTTTTTTATCTGAATTTGCAACAATACCTGATGTTTTCCTAACATCTACTGTCGTTACTACCATTGTTTCCATTGACTTTACAACAGCACTGTACGTTGTTTTTCATAGCATTTGTAACATTACTGCATGGTTTTCTTTTACTTTTCAACAGTACTACCCTGGCTATGTTATTATTATTATTATCATTATTATCATTATTATCATAATCATTATTATCATTATTATTAATAATAATAATAATAATAATAATTGACATCTTTGAATATTTCATTGATTGGATTAGTCAAATATATATAAGGGATACTCAATATGTCAACCAAGAAGCCCTTACTTTACCACTTGTTATCTCTTTTTCAGCAATTATTCGACTCAAGACTTAATGCTTACATTTTTGCAAGTTGTTCAATTTACCGATTACATAATACTGTTAGAAATAATTTCAAAAGTTGATATTCTAAAGGAGAAAGTCATACTTGATAGTATAAACGAGTTCTTTCCGGTTATTTGTTTGATTGTTCGCACTTCTCCGTGATTGAAGGCATAATCTGTTGAAGTTAACAGAACCTGGTCTCCTGTAAACAAATAAACATGAAAATACATCATATAAATCATTTATATTAACCCTTAGTCTGCAAGCAGTAATTGAATCTATCCATGCGGTCAGTGATGATGCAGTTCAGCGGGCACTCTCATGTTATCTGACCATGGTGGGCACAGTTTGCTTTTTAATCAGTGCTTTCATACAAATGTAAATGGTTTTGTTCAAAATTAAAGATTGAAAAGTCTATTTAAGAAACTAATATTCAGCCTGATCATGTTTTTGAGACCTTATCAATTACATCTCATTATACACCAACTTAATATGTCCTATATCAGAAACTTATTGTGGCAGGGGAAAGCCGTTTAAATGGTCATGATGGCCATGACCAAACAAGATTTGGCAAATATGTTACAAATGCAATATACTGTTATAGCTGGCTTTAACTTATATAATTATATTTGTTATATGATTACCCTATCATAAAACAAGCATTTATTTGTTGAAACAAACTTATGAGTATAGCATATATAGCTGTTTTATTTACCTACGTATATGTAGATAAGCAAAATGCTTACGTTGCACGAAAATGATACATTTCGTTTTTCTACATCTTCAATTTTTCTTTGGTATTTGGTAATACGGATATGTCGAGATTATCCTCATTTATCGAAAGTTTTTTCGGTAGAGCGGATACGTCTTACAATATAAACGGACTTTTTCAGTGCTTTCTGATTTTGACGTTCAAATGTTTTGCATCTACGGTCTTTGTGATTATGCTACTGCTCTTCTTAAAGCGATACGTTACCGCATTAGGCAATGCACAATTTATTACATTACCTGCTTTCCAGGAACTGATATCATGTGTGACCGTCACTTCCGGATACCCGACACCAGGGTTTAGAACTCTTAAATCAATGAATGAATCGAGAACTCGGAAAGGCACTAGCCTGGAAACAGATGCTATCACCCTGTTCTTGTAAGTTATAGATGACATTGCTTCAGAATATGTTTTTCCAACTTGTCTATCCAGCGACTGTGCATAATTGTCTCCCCCTAGGATTGAAAATGAGGCTAATAAATTAGTTAATACAAGAGATGGAATCGTTTTCTAGAATGAACAGTTCAGAAAAAACTACGCAAAGATATCATTTTTGTTACATTTTTGCTCAGCTTTACTAACGAAAAGTTCAATATCCTAGTCAAAATATGATCTATTTCAAGTTATGACGACCTTTTAAAGCAAATAACAATTGAACATCAAATAACACAATAGCTGTTAAAAGATGCAATGATGTTTAAAAGATTATACAGACGCTTGGCAACATAGGAAGTGACGTAAGTGAACATTGTAGAAACATACCAACAACAAACACCATTGAAAACGCGTCATATTGTTCATGAACACGTAAAAGTAGTTCCCCTTCTGCCATTCCAGCCATTGTTTCAATGATTTCGAAAAATGTTTCAAAGTCCACATCTTCAGATCTTATAAACTCCTTCTGCACTGATATGGCTATTACTGAACCATCTCCTGCTTCTGTTAAACAAAATACGTTTCTTAGTGAAATTATTCTCTATATATACTGATTGCCTAGATACGATCTAAGAATCAACGTTTCAAGCGACGGGAAATAAAGCATATAAATCACATATTCTTTATACACTAAAATATATGAATATTTTTAAGATCGTTTAAGGTGTTATATATGTTTCTTTAGAATGACACACGTTTCATCGCACATCATGTGTTTCTAAAATGCATTCTAAAATGCATATACCAATGCTATTTTAAATGTACTGAGCAGAAAATGAGTATGATGTCATTAGATATGATAAAACACGACAATCCATGTTATTAGAACTCAACCATGGAGCAAATATCTGTTGCGTTTAGACCTCGGACTCGCCAATCACCTGAATCATTCGACGAAAATGTGGTAGTTATGGTTGCTAAACAAGACAACAAGATATCAAGTAAACTTATCAAAAGTCTGATGTTCAAAAATTAAAGCGTATTTCACAATTACAATACAAAAGAATGTTTCACAACTGCTACACAAAAAGAATATTTCACAATAATTGTATTTCAATTCAAAAGGAATATGTCACAATTTGCTATACAAAAAAAAATCGCAATTCCATTTCAATACAAAAAGCGAATTTCATTATCGCTTCAATATTCCATAATTACTTTACAAAAAGAATATACAATAGGAATTTTCCTTAATTGCATTGCAATACAAAAAGAATATTACACAATGACATTGCAATACAAAAAGGATATTTCACAATCGTATTGCAAAACAAACTGAATATTTTACAACTGGATTGCAATACAAAAAAGAATATTTTACAGATGCAATACAAAAATGAATTTCTAAATGATACCCACAAACTGTGACACGTACAAAAGAAGAGGTTAAAGGGTTTTTTAAAAAAATGATAAGATTGAATTCACATGTTGCTCACACTACCTGATAGTTTCTCTGCCATTTTGATCAAATGTTTATTGGTTCTTCTCGCAGCACTTATCGTGACAAATACATCATAAAATACAAACTTCAAGTCGGAATCAAGAATATGCACAGCGAATCCAGTTTGAAACATTTTTAAATCAGCATTGTCTGTATCCTAGAAAAGTGGCAATAAATGGCTTTTCTAATGCAACAACAACAACAACAACAACAACAACAAAATTACAGCACAGCATGTACACCTCTTAATAGTTGAAGCTATATAATTGCCGCGTGTTCACAATCAGAAAAAAATAGTAACGTGATAACACAATCCTTGCATAAGGCAGCTTGTGCAAAAGATAAAACTAAGCAATATAGTTAAAAAAAAACTGTCATACATACATGCATGTAATTCAAATACATACTAGGCATTTATCTAAATCATGTCATTATAAAAAGCTCAGATAATTTATCAAATATAAACCACAAGTTGAATTAACACTTTTAATATACTTGTAAAAAACTAATTTTTATGTTTAATTTTTTATAGAAATTATAAATGTTTTACCAAATGTCTAAAATGAACGTTGTCTTTGTTGGCATTAAATCGGTCTACCGTGCCGGACAACTTTGTCCATGCCAGCCTGTCCTCACCATGGATCTGAAGTGTGCCGTGGTCACTTACTGCTATGTACTTCTCACCGTGCATGCCCAACAAATTGCGGTTCACCGTCCGATCTCCTGAAATTACAATAATATGAAATTAAGATCAAAATTAGTTCACTGTAAAACTACAAGCTTCTTATTTCTTTTATGGTAAATGCAATGTTTACGTCTGTTTGATTGTTTTTTAATTAATTTATTATTTTTTCTTTCTTTTTATCATATAAACAGCAATAAATACGCAAGAAAAAAATAATCTTTACTTTTTTTAGGATCATTTCTGAATATTTGTATCGTAAAAGAGAAATCTTTAACTCATACATGCAAATGATTTCACTTTTTTCAATTATATTTCTTATTTTTCATTACATTTTTATTCATATTTTTCTTTATGCGTGTGTATTAATGAAAAAAGGCCGAATGCTATTTCTCTACTTTGATAACAATTATGCGATTATTTTATTTGCATTTATTTTACTACATAGATTATAGCAAAGTACAGTAGCCTTTATTTTTGTCCTTCAAAATCATTTGACAAATGGTTTACCTTCAGACAAATGGTTTACCTTCAAGCTGGATATGAACCTCGTTTTCATGTCTGCATGTTTCGCTTCCAATTATAAGATGTCCGAAATTTTTCACGTAGATTCCTCGTGTTTTAATAGAGATATCGTGACCCTGGTTGAAAACGAGGCGACCTTCACCTATGATGTCGATAGAATGAACGTCGAGCTCAGTGACGTCAAGAAGAACGTCCTCATCTATCACAATTGCTAAATCTTTCTATAATAAAAATTATGCTCTTTAACAAGTTAAGCTTCTAAATTCATTCTAGGACAACTGTTAATTTGTAAAAACGGTAATACATGTAAACAGAATACAAGCACGGGATCTTGGTGCGATTTTCATTTTTAAAAATATTTATTGAAAAATCTGATATTTTATTTAAGTTCACAGAAACAAAATCAAAACCAAAAAATAAAAAATAAAAAAAAAATTCTTAGGTATGAATGATGCTTATGTCGAATCATAGTTCATTTCTTATATCCCTCGAAGAAATGTACATACATGATGCCGACTTGCGAGAGATTTTTTGTAGTAACCGATAAAAGAATTGTATGAGATCGCACTCCAAATAGATCTAAATGTTCCTTGCATATAGTTTAGTTTGTAAAGGTTGTCGTTTTCATTTTTTTCATATTCGTATCATTAGTTTTTTTACAATCACAACGTGTTTAAATTCGAATCTTATTTTTTTAAGTCTGTCATTGCGACATCAAAATAATATTGAGAATTAACTCGAGCAGAAGATATAAAACTTACCGGAAAAGAATCATAAAGTGTAGAAATTTTTTTCAGGTTCGAGTCCTCGTGCGGACAAGCAGATTCAGCATCTACAAACACAGCGGCAGACGCCAGGAAAAACGCCGTCAGCCACATGTTACATCCGTTACGTTCCGGCGCAAACTCGATAATGCCGTGGACGCAACAGTTCCTGGACCTCTTAAATAGTCCCGATATCGACTTAAGTACTAATACACCTGTTCTTGACCATATAATTCCCCGAAGCAATGATCAGATTAGACCATTGGTCGCTGTACTGGTCAAATATTTAATTATAGCATACAAATGAAATATTGAAAACATTATTTCAGTTGATTCATGATAAGACAGATTAATAAGATTTGTTTATAGAAATACAGATAGATTATTGTCAGGTAGACAATACCAATCTGATAGTATTATTTATATTTTACTTTTTTATGGTATAGTTTACTTGCGGATTTACTATATACCATCAGTATGACAATAGTAGGCCAATAAACATTGACATAAAAGTTTAGTTGTAAAAGAAATTAATTCCGCCCACAACATTCAAGATTATTTCGAAGTATTTGAAAAAGTACAAAATTTCGGAGGGTTTGAAAAGTACAAAATTGAGTTTCCAAATTTGGTAGATAAAATATATGTTATTTTCTTTTAATATATATTATTTATGTTAATGATGTAGTACTTTATCACATAATTATTCTGCTGATGTCATGATATTTAAAACAGAAAACATTTTCATCTATACATGTTTATGAGAAAACTCTATGATGAAAACTTATATGAGCCGGCCATGACAAAACCAACATAGTGCGTTGGCTACCAGCATGGATCCAGACCAGCCTGTGCATCCGCGCAGTCTGATCAGCATCCATGTTGTTCGCTTACCAACTCTATTACAAGTAGAGAAACTGATAGCGAATAGTAAGGATCCTGATCAGACTGCGCGGATGCACAGGCTGGTCTGGATCAATGCTGGTCGCAAACACACTATGTTGATTTTGTCGTGACGCGGCTCATATGTTTATGTCACACAATGTCTAAAATGTTTCAATGCAGTTAGATTCTAGTAAGAAAATGATAACGAGAATTGCCCTGTAATATCATAAACTCGGCTGTTAATATTTAGTATAACAACATGAAAACAAACAGGTGTTAGATCATCGGAAACATTTTTTCAAGATTTGTTTTGTAAGTTTGCCCAATGATACATTTCTATTGTTTTTATCAATATTTGAAATACCCTGGAAAACGTGCCCATTGTAGACCCATTTTTACGATTTACATAGCTAAAAGGAGGGACACAGAACTTCTCATTAGAGAAGAGATTATAAAAAGAAAGAAATCATTTACTTTACTTTTAAATCTTAAACCCGCCGGCTATCCCCAAAGAAAGTGTAAACATTAATGACAACAAATTGTGTATGATTAACGGGTGATAGGTATTTGCTTTTTAATGCGGGATGTATACACGTCTCCTGTATTTTAAAATCAAATTCATAAAAATTGTCTTAGTTAAATAACTAATTTGGAGGTGCTGCTTAATTTTGTTATAGAGCATCTCCAACACTTTAAATAAGTGCGGACGATCCATAATAATAATAATAATAATAATAATAATGATAATAATAATAATAATAATAATAATAATAATAATAATAATAATAATGATAATAATAATGATAATAATAATAATAATAATAATAATAACAACAAGAAAAGCGTTGATGCAAAGCATCAAAGGGCGTCCAAGCAAGAAATGCAGCAAGTGAAGATGAACTAGAAGACATCTGATGACCAGTTATTCTTATAAACTTTTCAATGGTTAATTGGTTTTTACCATAATTATATAAAATTTATGAATGGGCGGACGACAGACAAGACATGTTTGCATTTAATTTCTTGCAAAATTCTACAGTTCCTTATTTATTACCATTGCGTGACACGAATTACCATTTCGTTAAACTAAAACTACTTCTATAAATAGATTTTCGGACTTTCACCATGTTAATGTCATCATTCTATTAATAGGTACAGCAATACATAATAACACTGTGTACGAAATTATAAAAAAACCGAACATTAATTGACGGATAAGATAATTTCATTTGAATATGTTTGCATTGCGAAGTTCTCCAGTTCGCTATTCGTTGTACATATCGCAACATTTCATTTTTGATAATCAAGCACCTTCAAACCAATCGGAATGATCGGCTTTTATAACCGACGAAAAGGCCCGATATGTTGCAATTGCCCTTTCACAAAATCTGATTACATTCCATAAGGGGCGTCGCGCTTCGGTGCGGATGCCAATAACAGGGATGAAAACAAGTCGGTGACTTTACCAATCTATAATTAACTGCGAAGGTCCATCTGCATAGATATTCGTTATTATCGAATACTAGTAACTAACTCATGTACTTTACTATTGTCCGGAAAGTTTGTATAATTTTGCAATATATCCAATATGATCTAATAACTATTCAATAATGTTGAAATTCGTCTTTAACATACTTTTACTTTTGGACTTTTTTTGGAATGACAAGAAAGTGTCTCATTGAAGGTTCCGTGATAGGCCTAACCGCCGCATTAAAACATCTTCAAAATTTTAACATTTCGATGTTTTAATGTTGAATTTTGCTTAAGTCGGTGATTGGGGCATGGACAGCGGCAATTACCACTACCGTCCATGAGCCGACACTGCAATACTTTCAATTTCGTCGTTTATGGCGTTCTTTATGGATTCTACTTTGGTGCGTGATCACCGATACTATAGTCTTGTCTGAAGTGAGGATTAAAAAAGAAAAAAAGTAACAGATATACAGGTTAACACACATCAACATGACTATTGGTAAATGGTGCCGACAAAAATTAGATATATTTCTAATTAAACAGAATTTCTCTAACCTTGCTTGAAGCAACAAAGACGCCAAAACGACAGCTTGTAAGATAATGTTACGTCACTTCCGCAAATTTTAAAACCGTGGCAGTGATTGCACGGAAATGACATCATTTTTGTTTCCTATTATTTAAATTGTTTGTGGGAAAAGACATAAAGTTGCGAAGTGTAGTGAAACTATGCGTTGGCTCAATAAATCGCTAACTGCACCGGACTAGATCCATACGGATAGAAGACATCAAATGCCAATATGTTTTCTGATAAGATTTCTCTTGTTATTGACTTACGCTTCTGGCACAACTTGATTCTTAAAGTTATATTTAGAATCATACATTTCCTACTACTTCTATTGCAAACAGATAAAATATTTGAGCAGATGATTAAGGTTATAACAATATTATTACACCGAGTTATCTTTTGATTTGTATAACTTATTTGTAACAGCAATTAATTTTATGTGTCAAACGCAATAATGACAAAAATATTTATGTTGTGGTTGCTGTTTGTTGTTGATTTTCTTGTTGTTTGCCTTAAGCGTAATCCGATATAGAACAGACTTTTCTTTATCTTATATCTATTTTACGTAAAAATTGTTTGGATTATGTAAGATATAGGCAACTTATTTTAATGACAAAGTTTTGTTCCAATAGGCCTTCTTGTGATACTTCTGTCAAGGGATGCGTAAGAAAATATTCTGTACGGGCGGATTTGTCCCGGTCTAACACGTACAAGTAACAAACTAATTGATAATGCTCCAAATTATTGTTAAATATAAACTTTATGATTAATATGTTTTATATTTTGACCAAAGTAAATTTATCAAAAGTTTTAGGTAAAAATATCGTTGTTTTTAAAAATGTTTAATATTGGAATTTTCCATTCATGATAAAAAGATATAACATTTGCATGCATTTACTTTCAAAAGAATCCTTGAATACAATTTATTGAATTCTTAATGCATGAATTTTCATGTTTTTTTTTTGTTTTTGTTTTTTTTTTTTAAATAAAAATAAGTACAAACAACGAACGAACGAATGCTTTCCTAATACATGTTTTCATATAAAGTTTTCATCAAAATTGATTGACAGTAAATATTAAAATTAATGAAGATTTTTAACAACGGATATATTTCCAAGTGTTCATGATAAGTCAACCAAGTTGTCCTACAAGAAGGTCGGATTTTTATACTTCAAGCTATAATGCCCTCCAGGAAGGTCGTTTTTTAATTCTTAATAAAAATATTATCAGGCTATCAAAATACTCGTCTGTTATTGATTGACATGACAGTGTTTCCGCGTGAAATGACGTCAGTGTTACTATAACAAGTAAAGTTTTAAATGAACAAGAATGACATTACGAGTAGGTGGTTGTGTATAAATGAACGGCAGAATAGATAAAACGAATAGAAAATAATGTGCAATGTACAATGTGTTTTTCTTTTATTATTTATAATGAATCAGCTTCGTGAACTCTTATAGAGTAACATGTCGTTACAATTGTTATCGAAAGACCACTTTTGAACTTTTACAAGGCCAGTATCAAATTTGATCAATTTGTATTTTTGATTAATACACAAAATGCAGATATTTAAATTAAAACCTGAGTGTAAGGCAGGCCAATTTATTGGTTGTACGTTGACAAAAGTCCTTATTTGAATACACACATTTAACAAAATTTAATTTGAGAGGCCATTTTGTTAATAACATTCGTCTTTTAAAACTTCAAACAAAAAATATTAATTTATTCAAACTAATAACCTAACAATGGTCAAGAAAATCATGATAATTTAACGCTATGTATCCAAACTCGTGAAAATAAATCATGAAAATTCGAAGATTTTTCTTAAAAGGCAACATAAAACTGTTTATGCCCACTATATCCTCTCATGTTTTTAACGAGACAAGTTGTTGCAACTGGTGCTTATATCAAAAATTAAATCATGCCCGGAAAACAGCGCAGACATTCAAATATGCTCAGACAGAATACAAGCCCTCACATAAATTATATTGAATGCGCTGGCCTTTGTTCAAAGGCCACATAAAATCGACAGATTCCTGCTTAAATTAGAGAATCTCTCGTTTTCAATGAGATCAGTTGCAACAATCTGGTCCCTTAATATTGTCTTAAATCGTATTAACTGTGTATTAATTGTGTGCAGTTATCTTGCACTCCAAAATGATCAATTTTGTCGGCAAGGTGACACCTTGTTTGTTCCATCAAAAATTAATAACAAAACACCGGGCAAATGAAATGTTTTAAAATAAATTACGTTACGGTGTTATTCACTTATTTGATAATTTTCAATTGAATTGTTGCAATGAAATATTGTGCTATATTTCTGCCGTTTCAGACTGTATATGTTCAATGAATACGTGGCATATGCATTTTAGAAATGCACCGCCTTCTGCTTTATAATAAAGAACAAAGCACAAATTACATACTAGTATCATAAATTATATACCATTTTGTCGATCATTCTGTTGTAAGATTTCTTAACATTTCATTTGTTTTATATTAAGACTAACACCAACCCAAAAGGAAAATGGTCTTTCAAATATATAAGTGACTACAGGAAGCTTTTAACACCTTATGGCATTATTAATAATGAAATAAGAAATTTGAATATAAAGTTCACGTCACGAATCATGTATCAGCTAACACCGTGTAGGCCGTTTGTGGTGTGATTTTAGGGTTTTCTATAGTGCAACATAAAACTAGTGGGATGAATCGTCTATATATGCTGATAGTATACGATCGAGTATGTGTTAATGAATACTCGTGCTTTTCTCATGGCAGCTAGCGTTTCAGTAAATTCTCTCAAGTCCTTATGGAAAGAGAATTTAAACATGTACTGTATTCCATTTTAAGTGTTCGACACCTATAAAAATTTGAATGTTTTTGCTTTTCTTGAATGGTCCAATACCCAACACTTAACAAGACTATGGCTACATTGTTTAGGGAAAAAACATATACACACGATATCAATTTAGCATCTGTGTAAAAGAGTACTCAAACTATATCAGACAATCTTTAAATAACACTTCAAAAAGACTTCAAAAAAGTACATGTATAAGAAAAACAGGGGTTCGTTTGTCTCGCCACGGATGTAACATTTATCAAATATTTCAATTTCCTTACAGTTTGATAAGCGAATGGGTCGTAACATTTTATTCCATTTATAAAGTATAGATGTCCTTTCAGACACGATATGACATTTGTGAATATTACCGACATTCCATTATCTAACTAGATTGTAGTGCAAAAGTAGTCTTGATAAGAGATTATCTGAAATTGCTTCATTAGAGTCAGGTTGTGATATTTCACAGGGTCTAAAAAATCCAGTCTGCCTTGACAAAACTTAGCGAATATGTTGACGTGCACAGTCTTTTTGATCTTAGCTAATGCATTTGTTACTACAATTGCAGTTTCTGGGTCTACAGAAGAGGAAATTGTACAGATATTCCAAGGATTAAAAGCAGAATGTAAATATCATTATATTTTTTTTTTCATTTTAATGAAACAGATAACCGCCGCGTATTGGTGTTGTTGTGTTCAAACAAATCTAATCGGGATTAATATACAAGACAACATGCCATGGGAAAATCTTCTAAATTGTTTTCTGTGAATATATTTGATTATTTGATAAAGATAGATCCAAAATTCTGTGACGCATATATTGATACTGAGCTATGCATTCCATTAACCTCGAGATAAAACGGCATTTATTGAACGTTTCGGGATGCACTTGCATTGAGTTCATACAGTGTATATAAGATTAGATATTTATTCAATTGAAAGAATCAAATAAAATCATTTTCCTTTTTGACGTTATATTCCGCTCTTGTCATGACAAACAACAGATTAAATGCATGATGTTTCTACTTTAATTTCTCGTGTGTTCTAATAACACACGTACATTGAATAAATAGTCAAATTGAAAAAAAATACACATTTATTTCTCGCATTCCATCTAAAAGCATGAGGTCACAATTTATCAAATCATCATTGAAACTTCATTCAAAATATTTACACAGTTTGCATTTTTTTGTTTTCAGCTAAAGAATACAAAGAAAAGCTTATAAACCTAGAGAATAAAATACTGTCACAAAATGAATACATTCTTGACCAAGACAAACGTATCAAAAGTCTCGAAAACATCATAAAGTCACAAAAAAGTGATCTCATTCCTCAACGCGATGGAGAACAACATGATAATCAGTCTCTGGAAAGAATATTAGATGAAAGGATAAAGAAGGGTAATATTTGTTAATAATTGTGCAAAGATTACAAATGAAAATTTCGATGTTTTGTAGACATCTTAATTTAAACATCACAATAACTACAGAACAAAATTGGGAGATCCATAGGGCAATCACAATTCTTCAATAAAAGAAAAGAAATTGGTGAATATTGCAGATAGTGTTTTGATACCGTTTTAAGACTTATAAGTGAATATGCAAGCCATGTACCATGAATGAAATAAAATGGCATGCAAGCTCATTTTTAAATGTGGTACTTATTCTAATGTATGACAAAAATTTTAACATTATCTGCAAATATTTTCTCTAATTTGTTTTTATACATACAAAACAATGCACATTGCTTTGTTTCTGTTCTAGACGCAATGAATAGTGTGCATCGATCACTAACAACAAGTCCTGTTGCTTTTCAAGCTTTTCTTTCTCATGATACCTTCCATATCGCAAAGCATCAAGTTATTATGTTTGACTCGGTTGTAACAAATATCGGAGGTGGTTATCACAGTCGCCATGGACTTTTTACAGCCCCTAAAGCTGGCGTCTACATATTTTCTTCATCTCTTCTCGTACAACCAAACAGTGGAATTGAAGGACAAATAATGAAAAATGGTCGAAACATTCAAGGAGTGTTGGCTAATTCTCGTATTCACAAAGACTATGTTCAAGGATCTGGAACTGCTGTAGTTCAACTTGGCATTGGAGATGAGGTTTGGGTTGAGACGACTGAATGGACTCATGACGCAGCTTTGAGAATGGACGATTACACGAGCTTCATGGGGTGTCTCATTTTTGAGCTTTAATTGTAATGATACGTTACAATAAATAGAGACTATTCTTTTCATATCTTACATCTTTTCTTTCATTACATACCATATTGTTACATAAACCATCAGACTTCATTATACAAGATGACCTCAGTACGACGTATATTTCGTATTGTTCATTAATGCATCCTCGTTAACCATGATTAATATACGCGGGATGTTAAAAAAATCGTTGACTGTTGTTCTATTGTCAACACCTTTTAATTTGCGTTCACGATTTTACAAGAGACAAATATTGGAACATGTCCTCAATATGAATGAAAAAGTCAATACAATATGTTGACAAATAGCAAGGGGCACGCCAATAATACAACAGAATAACGTTCGTGACGTCGCAATATAAACGCAAAATGTCACTAGTATCATTGTTTTTATTTGTTTGGGTCGTCAGACCAAACAAATAATGGTAGCGAAATTTCAGACCATGATGCTATGAATTGCAAATGCCGAAAGAAGTCCGCTTTTTTGAAGCGGTTACTTCCCTTTATATATAACTGCCTCTACCACTTGGTTTCAGATGTAAACAGAAACAGAGATGATGTAAAACGAATTTATATATTTGACATCTAATGTGCGTCCCGGTACTCTTATCCTTGAAAATATGTCTGACAACAATTTGCAATTTAAGTATGCCCACTGATGTTCAATTTTAAACAAATCCGACTAAATGTCAACAGGTTGGTTTTTTTTGTACTTTCAGTTTCCACAACCATAAAAATAAATATATAAATAATGTATTTTTGCTATTGTACCTATGAATTCACTTTTTTAAGGTGGACTTTTACTACATATATTGGAAATAAACTTGTCAACAACTCCAAACATTAAATTACTATTTGTTTACATGTTTAGTTTCTAAGCGTAGGTTACTAGTATATAATTATATATATCGTCGTCCAGGAACGCGATAATTAGAGTTGTATAAACACATTCGTGATTTCTAAATTAAAATAATTTAATTTTAAATGTTGAAAAAAACATGAGCACAAGGAAGAGCGGCTTTCGGCACAAAGATCTACATGGAAGGACGACATTTCACGAATCCATCACCCAGCAAAAACCAGCAAGATTAAAGTTTTCCTACGCAGGCAGACATGGGCGAATTAAATTTGGATGCTACTGCATTACTGCTGTCGTTGTTGTGGTTGTTCTTGGTTGTATTTTATGCATGGGATAGGATCTTTTTAAGAAATGCAAGTGGACTCGAGAAAGGTCCACAGACTTACAAAAAGCTTTTTCAAGTTCCATCACAATCAAGCTATATTAAACACATACATGTATGTATGTAGTGGTGGGATTTCCAACAATAAACACTTTGATGATGTTTATATATGAGCCGTGTCACGACAAAACCAACATAATGGGTTTGCGACCAGCATGGATCCAGACCAGCCTGCGCATCCGCGCCATCTGATCAGGATCCATGCTGTTCGCTTACAAACCCTATAACATGTAGTGAAACTGATAGCGAACAGCATGGATCCTGATCAGACTGCGCGGATGCGCAGGCTGGTCTGGATGCATGATGGTCGCAAACGCATTACGTTGGTTTTGTCATGACGCGGCTCATATTTATTTTATCCAGAATAAAACCTGTAATAAAATAAAACAACTATAAGACATCATATTACAAAACAAATATTTTACAACACAAAATACATAATACAAAATATTATACAACAATTCATATTACAATTAAAACAATTTCTTAAATAAATAAATAAATACATATATACATACCAGGCTTGATAGAAGAGATTCTTCAAAATAAATAAATTGAATATAAGATACAAGCAAATATTTCTATAAAGAAATTACTGACAGTAAACTAATATAGATGTTTCCACTTTGAGAGTCAAACAAGGAGTGGTTTAAATTACTAAGAAATGTTACATTCCAGAACCAAATCAGCTAAAAATTGCATACCAAAATAAATCATCCATCACTCAACTTGCAAAACCAGTTCAATCACCCATAACAAATGGACAAACATGAACACATAACACCACAAAAGATTTGGCCTGGCCTTTAAGGGAAAATAATACCGTATTTATTATAAAAAGAGAACTTGAGACTATTTTAACCTTATGTAAATGTATGTTCAAACAAAGTGTAAGATAATATATATTAAGTATGTATAAAAGAATAAACTCTGCTTATCAAAAATAACATTTAATAAAATTGACGATTTCCAAGTCCAACACATTATACTGCAGTATACATATTATGTCAGTGAGCATCTTGCAGCAAAGGAGTCCTTTCGGATACATGTGGTACACGGTTACTCTTTCTGCGTATTAGCAGTGAACATGTAAAAAACATTGCGCCCACAAGTATTACACCTGATGCGATTCCAAAAGGGTACGTGTATGATCCAGTTTTATCACGAAGTGATCCTGAAGCGGAAAAAAAAGGATATATTTTATAAAGCAACCATGAAAATGAAAATTAGCTATAATAAAATTGGATTAAGTGCTTAGGTGATTAGCTATAATAATTAATGAAATGAAATAATTAAGTATGAAATTATGTTATTCGGCAGTTTCAAAGAGTAGCTTATGGTGAACCATTTTGGTGAACCATTTTAGAAGAACTATAAATAAAATGTCTTTTTAGTTCTAATACCCGGATACTTACCACTAATAGGTCCAGCCAGAGCACTGCCTATACCATTTAGTGTGAAGTGAACACCAACTGCACTGGACAACCCGTCTATCCCTACAATCTTTAGTGTTGTCACATTAAACACTGATACAAACACTCCATACGGTATTCCAATAAGACCCAACATAAGAAGGTGAAGCCTCAGACCTGTGACTGTAACCAGTCCGGTCATGCAAGCAGACATTACGACAGCTGCACAAATAGGTACAGACAAAGAAGGGATATGCTTTGACTGCATGACAATACCCGGTAGCAGACGACCAAATATGCTAAACATATGGACCAGAAGAAGTCCGAAAGTAGCGTCATCTTCACTCAAACCAGAGTCTAAAAATAGATCTACGATGAAGATGAATAGAATTCCTAAAGCAGGATATACAATAGCCAGTCCAATTGCGAACAAAACAAAAGAAGGGTTTAATGCTAAATCTTTCAAATATTTTCCAATAGATTCACGCCGGATGTTCTTGCTTTTAAGTGTTATACCTATGTGCTTCCGACCAATTAGTCTCATATCATAAGGTCGGGTCAGGGAAACGGATATATTCGTTTCAGCAATTAATTTTGAATTGATTTTATTACTGTTGTCAGCATTCGTCAGATGTAACACTGCATTACCACCATTATCATTATCAACATGAATACTAAATTCATTCTTATGAGTCATGTAAGTGTTACCACTCTTTGACAGAAGAGAATCTACATCTATGTCATTTTGGTGGGCAACTTTGGTTGTGTTAGTACAGTATATAGTTCCTTCCTTTGGCATATGTCCAAGTGTCTCATTCTCACTTCTCCGCCACAAGAAAGCCGCAGGTAATATTTGCATGTAAACTCCTCCAGCAAGGAGTAAGGTCCCTTTCAAACCAAATTGATCACTGTCAATTTAAAATAAACTTTGTGAAATCTCTTTTTTCGACATTTCAAAATTATTTTTAAAGATTATTTGCAAATTTGACATTGCATTTTATATGAGCTTCGTTATTATCATATTTTCATTTATCAAAGCTCTCCTTAGGTATATCTGGTACAAAAGCATTGTACTGCTACTGAAATACATGAGAGTTATTCTTTCTGTTATTCTATATTTTACACACCTAGTCTGAACGTTCAATGAATAACTGGAAATTTACTTGTTTTTTTTAATAGAAAATGACAAAAACTACGGTAGTTCAATCAAAAATTCAAAATTAACAAAATTAATGTTTAACAGATCATACAAAAGACTCTTGACCTGAGATATTTCAAAAAGAATGAAAAAACCATTCCACCTATACCACCGGCTGCACTTTGTATTGACAATAAAATGTGTCGTTTTTCTCCAGCAAATTGTTGTGCTATTGCTGTGGAAGATGCAATATACAAACAAGATGAACCAAATGCTGAAAATAAAATTTAAGCAATTAAATTGTGTTGGCAGCTTTTGGAATAAAGTTGGAAAAGTCATATCATGAAAGTTATATTTGATTTTCTCTTTAAAATCTAGCGTACGTTTAGAAACTTTAGAAACTAACAAGTAAAGAATTTTAAATACTTTAAATAAGCACAAGATCATTTCATTGAATTATAATCTATAACAGAAAAAAACTAATCAAAAGTGAATACAACGACACTTATTGTCAATAGAAACACCTTTAATTTCGGAAATTACGAAAAAATCATAGAAAATTAAAGCTACAACGTCTTAAGGTCAATGATGAAGATGGCCTTGCGCGTGAGTTTCCCCCAAGGTTTTGTCAAGTTTCGTCAAAAGCAATCTAAAAGAAAATTGTCATTTTAACATTTCAACAAAATATGACATATGAAGACTAGTTTCTAGTAAAGATTGAAAAAAAAAGAATAATATAAAAAATATACCTTTATAGCTTTGAAGGCAATGAAAATAAGCATTCTAAAAAAAAATAATATGTGTTTTATGTTTGAAGTGAACCAAGCGATAAGAGTATGCAAAGAATTAAAAATAGAGTAATGAACGTGTTGAATTTAGAATAATAAACACAATGAAAATATAGAATGAATAATTAACGTAATGAAACTATAACAATTAACGGGATGGGAAAAAAGAACAATTAATAAAATGAAAACCAATTAATGTTATGAAAGATATAACAATTAATGTGATAAAAAAATGAAAATCGACAATTAACGTAACGAAAAAATACAATTAGCGTAATGAAAATAGACAGATTTACGTAAAGAAAGATAAAACAAGGAACGTACACCTAAAATGTGAAACACCATGACTCTCATCTGAAAATAAATTTGCATTTGTTGATAGGTGTTATATGTTAAATAAACTGATGTTTCATGCTTTAAATAAGAAATCCTTTGATAAGGGCTCTCCATGAATTAATTCGTTAACAAAATACGTGTCTGGTTTTATCAGGATATGTGGTATATGGTTAAAATTGATATTAAATAAAACTGTTGCATTATGTTAAAATCTATTGTTGGAATCAATGCTTCATTCATTGATAGAATGCCATTAGTCGCCGTTCGTGTTGTAAATAAATAGTAAAAAACACACAACAACAACATTTTATTGCAACATAATAAGTATGCACAAGCAGAAATTTGTTCAATCTATTTGCAATACTACATAACTCAAGCAAAGCATACTAGTAATACTGCACTTGTCATTATTTATTTCTACATGAAAATATAAATTTAATATTACCTAGAATAACTCCAACGCTTATATCAAGTAACAAAACTGAAGATGCGAAAAAAGACAGCACGAGGCCAAAAGTAGCAATGCACGAGCCAAGAATTCCAGCCTTTTGAGTACCAAACCTCTGTACAATTGTGCCGCTTATCATTCCTTGGAAACAGAGCAGACATTAACTATTATCTAGCTATGTGATATTGAATGACAAGATACATGTATACACTAGTATTATTTTTAATATATTCATTCAATTAAGAAAAAGTAAAGTGTTACGTATTTATTTTGCTGTCAATTTTTCAATATTTGGTTTATACAGAATTTATTTTAGTTCGATTGTGCAGGAAGCTATAAGCTTATAAACACACTTTCGAATCCGTTCCTGGAACCAACCAGTACTGAGCAATGAGTGTAAAGTTTCTTGCTCAAGGAAACAACGACTTGCCCAGGGTTTGAACCTATGAGGCTAGCGATCATTAGATTACTAGTCCGAAGCGTTAACCACTCGGCCATGCCGCCACTTTGTAGGTACCATTGCCGTTCATGATAGATAGTACAATGTAGTAAGATTAACTAGTAAGTGAATTACTGACCGGTACCAAACCTCACGGCCATCAGAATTGACTGCACCATTGCGGCTTCTGATCTGCTTATAGCAAACGTCGTCATTATATTAACGTATAGCGTTCCAAATGAAAACATGAAACCAATATCTAACATCATCGACATGCAAGCTGTGATAAACACTACCCATCTACGAGAGCTGTCTTTTCTGTAAAATTTGAAAGAAAAAAAAGCATAATGTTTTCATAATAGATATGTATACTAGCATGTATTGACTTTTATACCATAATTAGTGTGCATTGTGTATGTTAAGGACTTACAAGGACTTACAAATTCCAGAGGAAGTATTTTAATTCTTGTATTGAAATAAAATATGGTAAGTTAAAGAGCTTCTTGATTTGAAATACAAGTGGATTTTACTTCGATGCGCTGCAGTGTTGAGCATGATACGTCCTGATACATAAATGATAGCAAAAAGCAAGTATTAGATCAGTATACTCTTGCAATATACTCTAGACTCTAAAGGTGAGCCAATGTGTTCCCAGTGCCTAAAAACAAAATAAAACAAAACAAAACAAAAATAAAATTAAATATCTAACATGGATCAACTAGCTATAGGGCAATTAAGAAAATTTAGAGAAAAAAAATGAAAGAAATTTACTCAGAATTGAATTGAAAATCGTATTCAGTGCGGTTTTTAGCAGATTTTTAATAAAAGTCGTATAAACGCTGTTAATTTTAGGTCATATTGCACAATAAAATGAATTACGATTATAGGAAAACGGATTGATCGAATTATCTGAAAGTTAGCACTCAAGAATATTGGATAGACCTTCATCAAATGGTATAAAATATCGAAAATTTTTATATAGTTCCTTCCTATTAAAAATCTTGATGGGTCAATAAAGAACATACTTTAAATCACAACCTAATCACACTTATTTTCTTTATGTCAAGTCCTATTTTTGTGACATACGAACTTATTATGATTGTAGCAAATTACATGTATTTACGGACATTATAATAATATCATCAATATTAAAGCTTTCAATATTTTTTGTTTTTCAATTTGACTTCCTGTAAAATTAATAGGGTAGGACTGAATATAAGAACATTTTTCATTGGTCGTTTTAAAATTACAGAATCTCATTGGTCATTCCAAAATTAAATGTAAAGGACAGTTCTGACCACTTTAAAATAAAATGTAATGGATAGTTCTTACCATTCTAACATAAAATTTTAAGGATATCTCTTAATAAAATGTAAGGGATAGTTTTTGCTATAGAATATAGAATGTATAATGTAAAGAATTGTTCTAAAATAAAATGTTTAGGAATGAGAATAGTTTTATTTTACTTTTAAGTTAATTTGTAAATTATTACAAAATGTATAAAATCAAACATAGTACAAGTAAAAGAGACACCTAAATATATAAGTTGTCCTACTTTGAAAAACCATCAATATCGATATGTTTTTATTTAATTTCAATGATTACAAAATGGGTATTTTCGTAGCTACAGAAAATAATTATCATATCATTGTTATGCAAGCATTGCTTACATTACTTTTTGTACTGAAAACTTTGAAATAACATAATTTTGCAGGTTAATCGTTTTACTTCGGCCGAGTGTCTTTTTTTACAGATCGGCCTTTTTTACAGATACTTCTTGTTTTTCGAACAAACGTATTAATGTAAAGGATCAGTGTACGTCATGAATGGAGCAAAACAATGTGTGGTATACAGACAATGATCCGGATAAAAACTATTAAGGTAGCACTCCACACTAAATTTCAAGTTTCTGCCGTCAATGTCCTACAAGCAATATGTCTGATAAATCTGATCCCAAACTACACAACCCGGAAAAAGAAAACACATTTTGTTAAGAACATATATGTCATACCATTGCAAATCTGTAATGAAATCATCCCATGTGCGACAGTCAGGCAGTTAAAAAAAATCCAATTCATTCCGTAAAAGCCAAAAATCTATAGTGGTCCCAGACCCAAAACAACATTTTTCGTCCCTCCGGCAAAAAATACCTGCAAATATACGGTCTACAAAAACTCTGTCACTGTTTTAGCAACTCCCTATGCATGCAAAATATCACAAAGAAATAGGTGCTTGGCCTTGTAGATTTTTTGCTATTGCTGAAAGTTTGTACCCCCCTGTAAAATTACTTGTTTTCACCGTGCATGCTGTTTAAAAGCAATGTTTACAAACAATGGCGACCTTGACATCAATAATTATCAGCATGTGATTTCTAACCATGTTTTCGAATTTGCCAATGATCATATTACATGTCACAAAAACAAATTTCATGCTGAAAATGCATTTTAAAGACAACCAGTCATTTAAATCCACAATAGTCACTATATCCATGAAATCCTCCCTGGCCATTCGAAGCTGCGGCTTCATTTAGTGTGGTGTGCTGCCATTAGGTTCTTATTACTTGTGTGCAAGTAATGATAAAACAAGTGTCATGACATTGTCGCAAAACAAGGTTTTCCTGCCAATATGAAAAAAAAATCTGCAAAAATGATCAAATCACAAAATGATGAAATTATCATGAAGTGGATTTTTTTTATAAATTAGTGTATTTCCTGACGTGCACTCGTAAAAGCAAGAAAAAGTAGTACAGTGAGACTAACAGAATATTGCCAATATTCACTCACTTGCTAAATTTGTGTTATCCATGTCATATTTTATACTACGGGTAGGCTTAAAACGAAAGACCGGTATGATTTTCTACATTATCCAAGAAAGATTCAGACTTTTATACACATGCATATGTGTTATAATGAAGTTATGTTTATATTCCATATTTGCTTTACGTTTTATTATTTTTCGCGAAACATCTTATAACAAATTTTGCTTACCTTTTATCAAAAGTACCGTGGGGGTCCTTTTTCATTCTTTATTACAAGTTACTGATTGGTAAACTTAAATGACCACAAAAAAGGTGAATCGCCTACAAGCTCTAATGATAGAATGTATAATTCGACAATCTAAATTTGCTTTTAATATTTTTTAAAAGGCACCAATGAATAAAACCCGGCTTAAACTTGTGACACAATCGCAATGTGATCACGTGATTTCTGAAAGACAATAAACAATATAAAGGATGGTGCGATCACGCGTGATGAAATTGTAAATACTTATGAGTGCCCATACCTTATGGACAGAATATTCGTTTATAACTTCGTAAAAACAAATTGCAAATATATTCTATTTATTGTTCGACATGCCCTTAATGGTCATTCGTGATTAATTCATCAGCATGCCCGTTTCATATCACAAGGTTATAACTTATCTTTACGACAGTTTACGCAATTTTGTCTTGTTGATCATGGTGAAGGGGTATTTTTTGTCTGAAGTAAACAGTGCAAGAGTTATAAACTAGTATTATATGAATTAAACGTTTCGGCTATTGATCCGTCAACTGTCAATTTGACGTCAAACCCGCTTAACTAGTCCGTAGATACTTGTCCCATTAATTATATTGTGTCCCAGTGTTTTTGTGGGATTAATTAATTAATTAATTAATTAATTAATTAGTTAATTCATTCATTCATTCATTCATTCATTCATTCATTCATTCATTCAATCAATCAATCATTTTCTTACTATCTTTCTTTATTTTGTATGACATGGTAGCTGTAGTTTCATCTGCTCATACTCATAAACTGTGTTACAATAAATACACAACAATTACATTCACGTTGCTTTATGCTCTCTTTAACAATCTTAACAAGATGAATACATGTATACGTATACATGTATATATGTATATTAATGCCCTTTTCATTTAGCCATATGCTAAAAATCAAATACTTGTGGACGTGTACTGGGTTCTGGAACAAAAATAGTTTTGTCCGAGACTGGTTGGAAAATTATGTACGACACTAAATTACATTTTTTTTGCCATATCTTAATTACCTTTGTGTATATCTAAAATAATAAACGAATTTCGGTACAAGGACTTTTTGATGCACTAAAAAAGTTATTTATTAAAACTCTTGCTTTTTTAAGGTTCTGAATGAGGTGAATGTGTACATAGGATGGTGTTGTTTTGTTGTTTTTTTACAACAAAACAGTAGAAAAAGTCAACAAATAAACTTTGAAGTAAAATATTACTGGAAAATCAGCAACAATCCTTTATTTTACATCTGATACGGTTCATATATGTTATGGTAATATTCTATTGATCAATTCTTTAAACAATCTTTCCGAAGCCAGTGGCCTGTGGTCTGTGACAATTCTAATACAACCTTATGGACGTTTAGTAAAAAGGATACTTTAAGACAGTGTTTGCAAACAAAAAGTTCAGGGAATTTGACACACATTAAAAAGTTAACTTAATCAAAAAAATCATCACTGTCAGGGTGCTCATAATGTGACTAGTATCTGTTTATTTTCCTCTGTATGATAACCCGTTAATGGGGACCTTAACGTAGCGCTTAGATATTACAGACTGTCTGCTTTCTGGGCTCATATAGGTATAGACGAAATATTTTAATTTTTGCGACTGCTAGTTTCTCCAAATTTCAAAATAATCCATATGCTTGTTTTACTAGTGTTCAGCCTATTACGATAAAATGATTTATTTAGTGGCGTGAAACAATTTTATTGGTGTTGATTG